GACTTTCAATATACTTAACGTATTGAAAATTTGAAAATTTTTTTTTCTTGTAATAATGATTTGTTGATTTTTCTAGAAACTCTAGTAAAATCATTCTGTTTGAAACCTTATCTTTTATTCCAATGAATTTGAACGAATAAAATCAAAATTATTTCATGCATATAATGAAGCAAAGACAAAGATAGATGGAGAGTGAGAAAGAAAAAAAAAAAGAGAGAGAGAGAGAGAGAGAGAGAGAGAGAGAGAGAGAGATAGACTATATTTAAAATTGGTCCATTCTACGAGATCCAGTATCTCTATAAGGATTTCGAAAAGACATTCTTACACGATATCTAATTTGGATGTGATCCTCTTTGATTTCCCAAACTATAATCGGAGCAAATGAAACACTTATAGCGCTTACAGGCACAGAGATGAAAACGACCAACAAGGATTGCGTCAACAAGAAAGGGCCAGTTCTCTCGAAGTAATTTGGGTTTGTCTTGTATGTACCCATCACAGCTCTAGCTCTAGCACAGTTTTATGCTTGAAATGCTAAACAAAATGCCGCGAGACATATTAAGGTTTAATTTTTGATAACTTTATCGTCTCTCTGCCATTACACGAGTTTTCGAAACGAATACAACAAATCCTTCATACTTTCATGGACATCCGGTTGAGTGGCCGAGTAGGCAAGAGTCTCGACTAGCAACTCAAGGGTCGTGGGTTCAAATCTCAAGTGCGGCAGAGTTTTTAATAAAGCCGAAGGCCTTTGATACTAGTGCTTTAGGACTTTAGTCTTAGAATTTATTTGGCTGAATTTATAATAATAATAATAATAATAATAATAAGAATACTTCCATGAACGCATTTTGAATGTGTTCTGTCTTTCATGTAGTTTTAAGGAAACACATATTCCGTTTTTTTTTTTTTTTTTTTGTTTTGACATCTTTTACTTATTTCAATCATTTTGCAGCGAATATAATTGAAAAACATTGCGCTAAGAAACACCATTAACTGTCTTAACGGGTCAATGTAGCAAAATTTATGAATATATGTGATTCATAAAACATTTTTAACAGAAAGCACATTTACGTATACGAAAGACATGGAAATGTCATGACACTTTGCTTTGAAGGTCGTTCCTTTAGATGCATTGCAAGACCGAGCATTAAGTGCCTTACACCAATTCGTCTAAAACACTTACTCATTAATTTTCGTGATAATACACCAAAAATTAATTAATATTTTATTTTCATGTAAACCCTTACATATCGAAGGTTGACGGAAGCATCGACTGATGTGAGCCAAACAAACTTTGTGTACTTCTCGTAAGATTTTATTATTTTTCATTTAGTTTAGTTCAGACTTTGCCGCGATAAAAGGGTTTATTTTTCATGAAAGCTTCTTTATAGTGTGGTCTTCAAATATAGATCAACTTGATCCGAATTTGATACAATTAAGTTTTATATCAAATTATTATTATGAATTAATTTTTACCATATTATATCAAAAATTAAACCTTTATGCCATATAAAGGCTTATTTTTCATAAGAAACCTTATGTGGGTGTGTGTGTGTGTGAGTGTGTGGATGAAGTCCAAGAAATACACCTAGACGGTCAAAATTTGTTGAAACTACTTTGTATGTTAAATTATTATCATGAACGCATTATCAACATGAAATATTGAAAATTAAACATTTTTACCATATGAAGATTCCGTGGGAACCGAATAGAGACTAAAAATTGTCCCAACAATTTATCATAAGTAGATAGTATTACTTAGCGGCTTCGGTGGAGGAATTTTAAAATTTTCAGTTTTTTTTTTTTTCATATAACGACTTTCCAAAATAAGGCAGATATGGTATGGGGAGTGGAGTGAAAAGTGGTCCGATCGGAATCATTTTCAATATAGTTCGTTCCGTACCAAAACACGTCGGTATAAGAATTTTATCAAAATATTTCAAAAGTTGCAACCTTTGACTTGAACATGGACACGCGAACAGACGAACCTAAGCACAGACAAGCATTGATGTATTCAGATTTTGAATTGATCGGTGTAATAAAATGTGGACTTATCTTAAGTCCTTCTAGGTGTCACATACGTCATTACGCCCAAGAAAAACCAAATTTCTCATGAGAGTCAATGTGAATTCATATGTTGTACTCCCTCAATATATTTCTATAAACCAATGTTTGAATCTAATTGAAACTTTTCCTGTCATTCTCCACAACATGTTCGAAATAATTGATTAGAATAAGAGTTTATTAAATTAATTGAGCCTAAGGAAACTCTTTATAACGATGCACCGTTAGATATCATCGTTTCAGTTGCGTCACTTTCCCCCAAAAATATTGCATTTGCTAGCAAAGTTGCTGTTTTTTGTCCATTTATTAGTGAAGAAATTTGACAGCTTCGCGAAAGTTTGTAATGTTTGTAGCTACCGTTTTCCCCCTTTTTATACCCACCACTGTAAGATGGGGCTACACTCATTTTGTTTTTTTCCACAATGTCTGAAACACCCAAGAGGAAGCTTCCCAGACCCTATAGTGTATATATACTCTTGATCAGTGTGAAATTCTGAGTTGATTTAGCCATGTCTGTCCGTCTGTATGGTGTGTGTTGTTGCCACTCTCCTGGACGCAAGAATGAAAATATCGACTTCAAAGACATATTGGAAGTTTTTGCACGCAGATTAGTATTGAAAATGGGCCAAATCGGTGGGAGCGGAAGTGTGCAGTGGAGCGTAAACTCAACGCATCTCCGCTTTCTTTAACAAAAATTTTCGGATTTGTGCTCGTTACTCGGAAATTATTAAAGTTAGGAAGCTGAAGGTTTCCACATTTACTTTACGAAGCACTCTACTCCTTGCATGCAAAAATGGAAAACATCCGCCATGCCCACCCTGAGTTAGAAGTGATTGAATTTTGTTTTTTTCACTTTTTTGAGGTTTTATGCTCATTTATCATAAGGCAAGCCAAGCAAGACCGAATATTTAAAACTGTTTTGCACACCCCTCAAGTAAAGATATATATTATTCGACTAGAAGTGGGTTAATTCGAAAATGAATATGATAAACATCGCGATTACTGTTTTCTTAATAATATTAGCGATATGGGTATCAAATAAAAGGACTTGGAGAGTGGAATGCAAAAAATATAGTGGTGTGCATGCGAGATTCCGCGCCCGCCGAATATGGCTTTCTTACTTGTTAATTTTCTATCCAATGTAGGGAATATTCTAATATTATTGATCGTTTCTATGACGGAAAGAGTTCATAAAATTATTATTTTTTTTAATTATCTTTTATTTATTTACCCATGAAACTCAGCTAAAATAAATTTAAAGTAAATCCTATGCTAATTATTATCAGAAATTAATAAAAAGTATATAAAGAGTAGTAAGGAAAAAACAAAGCAAAATTTAAAAAATCATGACGAAAGTATAAAAAGAGAAGACTAAAATTCACGTATAAATAAATTAAAGCGAAAAAAAAAAAAATGTGTACACACCTAGCACACAGAGGCACAACCACAGCCGGCCGATACCGACTCAAGTAGCAAATGCACCCCTAGGCCATTGCAAACATGGAAAAGCTTGGCAATCAATAACAGTAAACAACGCCTGCTAAGTAAGCTATTTTAAGGTTGCAAGTTAGTTTAAATACGGCATAGATATATCGCACGTATTAAGTTCAGTTGTGTTGATAGAGCTTAAAGGGTCCTACACTGATATTAAGTGATAGATAGCATTTAGCTTTTTGCAAATGACTCTGAACTCATTGAAAAGTTCGTAATTATATATACATTGACTAAGCTTTATGAAGTTAAACTTCGTAGCGAGAAGCGAGTTGGGACATTAAAATTTATCGCAGCAAGTGCAGCGGGTGATAAGCGATAGTCGCATTTACTAACTTAATTAGGAAAGAAACACCAAGCGTAAATCTAAGTTTCTCAAACGACGGTAAGGCTAACACAAGCAGTCTATGCTCATAAGCAGGCAGAGAGACAAGGGGGGATCCAACGCAAATTCTTAAGGGCAAACATTTTATTGATTCTACAGAACACGTGTAAGAACGAGACTACACAATAGACGCATACTCAAGTATAGGTCTGACCGGACATGCCCATGGCATGTATAGGCTTTTTGTAATGTGAAGAATCATTAGGTCCTTTGCGCTACCGCTTATTGAAACCTAACGCCAACCTGGCTTTACTTTGATCGAATAGAATTCGCAAAATCGATGAACGAATCTACGCTTTTGAACTGTTGTGAATCGATGAAATGCTCAATATTGAAAAAATCTTAGAGTTCTCTCTCGCTCGTAAGTAAACCTTAGCAAATGAATTAAATCTAAATCATCTCTAATGAGAAATCAAGCGATCACAATACCAATCGGTCCCTAGCGACTTTACTTAAATCAGACTTACCTTAGCTGAAACCTATTAAAAAAAATGAATCACTCGTTGCGCTTAATGAAATTACGTTTGGGAAAGCAAAGAAGATCAACAATTCAAATTAACGTTAAACGTATGTACTTAGGTGGGGGGATAGATATTAAAAGATTTAAAATGCATCGAAATTCTTCTCTCTTGTATAATCATATCGTAATCATATAACAAGGATAAGAACGACATATTGAATAAATTCAATTTTTAATCTATATATATATATATATATTCATATATATATATATTCATATATATATATATATATTCATATGTATGTTTTTATGTTTATATCTATATGACATATACGCATGTACATGCTATAATAATATGTGTTTGGTATTAGTTTTGTTCATAACATATATATTTTCTTTTACTTAAAAATTACATAAAATACCTGCACTTATCCCCTTGCAATGTGTTTCTTTTTATATTTTTTGGAATTTATTTTCTATTCGCAAAATTATTTACAAAATTATTGAAATGTATAATAAAAATATTTTATATATATATATATATATATATATCTCATAAATTCTTATACTATGGCTTAGAAATGTAGATTATTTGATTTAAGTACTCACCTCACTTCACTCTTTTGTACAGAATATTGAATTAATTTGTGCAGTGGGCGATGATTGTATAGAATTTTGCGATGAATTGTTAGTTATAATAATCATACTACGGCTATTGGGCAAAGGGTATAGTTTGTTGTTGACTTCTAAAGGACTAAGACTTTGAGAAGTTTTAAAACGTCTTTTTCGGCTTACCTTAAGCCATTTAGTGCAATCGTTGCCTCTAGCACTGTAAGCCAATAATCGTTGACCATCTAAGAGGAGATTATTATTTAACGGTGAGGGCAAACTGACGATAGTATGATCTTCGGTAATGGTTGCACTCATACTACTATTGATAGTTGTAACGATATTATTGGCATCTGACTTATGTTGTCGCCTTATATGCTCTTCCAATTTGTAATTGACTATTGTATCTTTCTTGTTGAAACTTTTACTGGTTTCTGATGAGCGCAAATTCAATTGTTGCTTACTATTCAAGTCCGATAAACTGATATTATTTTTAAGTAGAATTTCCAAATTCTCAATGGAATCGCGTAATTGCGTTGCCTTGTCGCTGTCGACGTTATCTCGTATGTCATCTAAAGCTGTACGAGGTACAAAGTTAACTTTACTGAAAACACTTGCTCCTTCGGAAGAGGTATTATCCACAGAGGTGGAATTGTTTTTTGCAAAGGTGGGTAGGGTGCCTACGGTCACTACACTGGAACTGTTGGATATACAGGGTGTCACAGAAATACCAGAAGAACTCACCGTAGTTCCAAACGATGAAGATATATTATGCTGCCGGCACAAAGATTTACGTCGTTCAGCCGTCACACTATTCATATTTGGATTAACATCGATGTCGGGTGATAGATCCTCGGATTCCGTAAATGTACTGCTAACCTGATTGGACATAGTTAATTCCGGTTCGGCATTTTGCTGTCTATCGTCAAGTAAATTTTTAGCTTTAGACTCATCAAATCTTACATTTTCTTCTTGAGTAACTTCAATCTTTAAAGTTTTTTCCTTTTCGGATTGCGAGTCGGCTATGACAATGGACTCCTTAACTTGATTCACCGCTGACTGCCCCTTAAGAAAATATGTTATCATCGTGCCTTTGCCTTTTACATTAATACTGCCGCGGCATGTCAAGTCGTAGCCACGTGGTTTTAGTATTTGATAAATTTCCTCAGTAACCTTTTCCAGAAGACGTAGAAATAGCAAAACGAAAACATTTTAAATCGAATCATAAAAATATTTTGCATACTAAAATAATAATAATAATAACATTTATAGAGACTAACGATAAAAACGCTTGATTGCTAACTTGAAAAAACCAATTTTTTTCTTCTCTTTTCGCACATTCTTTACCATTCTCACATATGTTTGCATATATGTATATATATATATACATATATATATATATATATATATATATATATATATATATATATATATCTATATATCCATATATTCATAAGTTTTACCGCTTGCTTCTTAAAGCACTTAAAGCATTGCTTCAAAACTTTCAATCATGCACCTATATTAGCAAAATAAATTCTTATGGTAGAAATTTGATTACAGTTCCTTTCAATGTTTTCTTAAGCGATCCTTAAAATTAAAAATAATCAGTAAATAAAAACAGATTTTACGCCCGTAATAAAAAAAACATATGAAAAGTAGCCAAGAAAGGAGAAACCAATAAAGTTTTCTCCATTGGCATAAAAACGAGAAATAACAATAATCGGAACATTATTTAGTGCGTAGTAGTACACTCAACCAAAAAAACAAACTGTCGAGTGATTTTCAGTGAATCCTTTTAATCCGACTAGCGGTGCAAACTATAAAATGGAATTTTTTTTTTTTTAGTCATTTTAAATGAAAACGAAACTTGAAAGCAATCAAAAAACTAAGTTGACCTCGTTTTAAGTATGTCCAGGCTTTTTATCAGTTAACTAAAATTCATTTCACAAGCGTTACTCACGCCATTCCAGTTCTGTCATCGTATACATCGCTGGGAAGTTCAATTTTAGTAATTTATGCTTTTTCAAAGTCGTTCGTAATCTTCAACTAGTCGCATAAAGTTTAAATTGCAAATCTCACCAACGCACTTACGTGCGGTCACAACAATCGCCTGTTAAGTCATAAAGGTAAGCCGGGAAAATTACGAACAAAATGTAACGACATAACCTCAAAACAAGCAAATGAGAGTAACTTGTAACAGCAAAGACCACTTAAAATATATATCTATAAACAATTCCATAATTCTATCTACTGCTAGATAATGTAATAAATATTTATTAAAGCCGCTTGAACTGGTGTATCTGAGTCCTCAGACATACTTCGCAGCGAAGAAAATGCAATCTCTCACTCTGAACTGAGTGCGTTTCTTCACTGTTTTTATATACTTCGGGTCAGAGAAGGCATATTTTTGTAAGTGCTTTGGAGATACGGAGCCGGAGACTAGTTATATTGGTCCATCGGTTTGTAAATTCCTTGTGATTTATTCAGTTAACCTGTCTATCTGTCATCTATTGTTGAACTGTTCAAGATCGCGAACTGAACTGAACAGAAGATGGATACAATGATATATATATACATATATATATAGAGCTGATGACTACAAATCAAAATTAAAAATAACTCCTTTCGCCACAAGCCAGGCGAAGGAATCTAATTATTAGCTGATGGTAGAAACTAATGCATAATTATACAGACTCACCAAGAATATCACAAAACTTAACACAAAACTACTTCCGATTGGTCAATTGACACGTTTGTCGTTAAAAATCAATTTGAATATTTGATAGGAAAGATTGTTGTTCACTTATTTTTTTGATCTATCTGTAGAAAACGAAAATTCTGATCGGCCTGAATGTCTAAACTGTTTTAACCATGTCCGTTATTCGTTTGTTCCGACCTACTAAGTGTACTCATGTCAAACTCATATAGTTTTTTTTTCATATGAATAATATCGTCTTTCGTCATTCACATGTAACTTAGGTTATACTGAAAACCGTGTAAAAAAAATTAAATCGCGTAAAAAAGTTTGAAAATTAAATAGTAAATAAATAAGATATTTTTTTTTTAACCCTTCAACTTGAACCTGATGAGAAATTTAAATCGCTGAACTTATTTTCCTTTTATGAACAACCATTTTAATGGCCCTACTGTAAATTCAGTCAACTTACCTGTATATGATCCACTAACCCAGTTGAATCCATGCGTGATGCAACATTTACGGCATTACCCCATATATCATATTGGGGTTTTCGAGCACCAATAACCCCCGCCACCACTGCTCCAATATTTATACCTGTAATACCAAGTAAATCAAAGAACAAAAAAATTTAATTTCCCTAATCATTTAAATATTGATTAGGTCATCATATCATCAGATGGAAACTTGCCGATTCTCAATCTAAAGTTATTGAATGAATGCATATTGACTTCTTCGATTTTATCGAATAACTGGAGACCGTAATCGGCCATAGCCGTAACATGACGATAATTAATTTGATCGCAAGTTTGTGCGGTGAGACCCGAAGCGGCCATATAAGTGGCTCCAGTGCTTTTAATTTTTTCAATGTACCTTCAAATAGGAATTAAAAAAAGAAAATATAAAAACAAAGCCAAATAAAAATATGAAAACTTACAAAAAGATATATGATGATAAAAAAAGAAAATAAGTAAATTTTACAATATTTTTATCACTTACCGAAAGCGATCCTCACTTAATAATTCATCAAAGTCGGCAATGATTTCGTTTAGCAAACGTAAACATTCGACGCCTTCGTTATTTGCTTCAAGTTCTACATAAAATTCGCTAAAATTAGGTATCGAAGCGAACAATATGCAGACGCTTTCGCATTGTTCATGATATAAATCCTGTTGGGAAAGTAGCGCCAGAGAATCGAACAGAATAGCCCCGTGCGTGTGCGAACATATAGGGAGGCGAAAGGAAAAATGACCAAGAATGTTATAAAATGCTTTATATCTTGGCATAGATAAGCGTAAGAAAATTAGTTGACGTCTTGTTATACTGGGATAGTTAGTTAACTTTTTGATTTCTATTTATTTTTTATTTGTTGTTGTTCTTGTTCTCTTTATCTTTAATTTTCTATTCTTTAGATTGTTTAAGAACATTTTACATTATTTTACTTTATTATTGTACCTATGGCAGACATTGTAATCCATTGTAAAAGGTCTTAATGGCTTCGAGGTTACATATGCGTCAATAAGTAAATAAAAATAAATAATAATAATTTACAAGAACTTGCGATAATTTTATAATGATTTGCTTTAACACATTTTATTGAAGCTGGTAAAAAAGCTTTACATAACTTGTCTCTCGGCTTTTCCTCTTATAAGAGCAATAAGCAATACTTCGAATTTCGATTGCAAAATAGTTGCCTTCGAATCTGCCGGTGTTAATTAAGAATATTACCCGCGGCCAAAAAGCCCAGTACATGGACAGAGCAACATGCTTAAATCGCTTGAGAAAATTAAATTAAAAATCGATCTGTCCCATGTTCTGTCTTCTGAGCGCTGCACATATAATACGTCCGTGCTACAAGTGACGTCAGCTGTAATGGGCAAGTCACGTTTTACTATCTTGACAAGTTATTCAGTTTAATGATAATTCTGTCTAAATTTTATTCTAACTTATTTTCCTATTTCAGTCGATTGCCACGCTTGCCGGCTTTATCAACTTTCTACTTTCTGCAACATTTGTTCATGAAGCGGTCGCCTCTTCTTGACCTGTGCTGGCAGGACCACAGTAGTCATATAATTATGGCTTGAATAATAGAGCGGGGCGGTACGATGCACACTGTTTCAGTTGAACGAAGTCGTTATCTCTGTATGTTACATAATACGTATATTTTAGTTTGATCCATGTATATATGTATATAGTTAACGTTTAGGTTTGTTTAAGTTTCCCAATAAATTTGAAAACTATCATGATCTCGAGAAATGTTCATGGATCCACTTCTAAGCGAATCCGTCTCCCCCCCTTGTTGTTAATGTTGCATATGTTTTTTACGCCCGCCATCGAAGTCTGGTAAAAAATGAATGCATCAACCTACTGGAAGCTTGGAGAACTCTTAAAATACATACATATTCTTGCTCGGCATCCAATTTTGAAGCGATTTCACTATGTCTGTCTATTCGTCCATCTGTCCCTTCGCCTTCTGGTCGCAACAATGAAGCTATCGTCTTCAAATTTAGCAGAAACTTTGGAAATTCCCGCACGCAGACTGCGCCTGACCAACACACAGTCAAAGTAACCGGTGATCCTACATAGACCACAAAAAAAAAAAAAAAATTGAGAAAAATCGACTATGCTCAGCCAACATTAATTAATATAATTCTTTTGTCAGATCATCTGTAATATGCGTAAAAAAAAGCTTCAAACGTTCTACAAGTATATGCGTTTTTGACCAACATCAATTACAGAGCCATTTTAAGCATGTCTATCTCTTTGCTTGCCTGTCTATGTGGATTTTTGTGTCAAATATCCGCCAAACATTGGAAACATTGGACAAAATGCCTCGGGAGAGTCACACTCACTGTATAAAATAAAATGAAAAAATCTCCGCTTTCGCAAGCATAATAATAATGGGATTTTTAGCCCGTTACGTGCAACCTAAGTTGGATAAAAAGTCAGCGAGAAATATAATCAAAAATTTCCTTGTGTATTTCATAAAAAACGGCTACGCCCTCTCAATTTTATAGAGTATCGAAATTTCAGTTTTTTATGTATACTTTCGTTTTAAAGAAAAGTACGGCGGATATAAAAGATTCGATCAGAGAGAGAGACAGAGAGAAAGACGAATATAATTATTTTACTTGTTATTCTTTGTTTTCTTTTATATGTCACATGAAGGCATTCATTATAAGCTCATAACGTCAAAACTAAGTTTTCATATCCATCCTTCATATCATTTTTTATTTGATACATGGAATGTAATATAAATAAAGTGTATGTAAGTATGTACATGTACGTATTGCCATTTAACTGAATCAAGTTGGTTCTCACGTATTGATTACTCGTTTAAAATGGTTGCAATCTTCCGGTAGAGTACATGTTCTACTATGTTGCAATTTGCTCGAATCAATCGTTGACCCGTCAAACGTTCACAAAAGTCATTATAAAGTTTTATCAAAATTCACATTCAGTTACAAGAATTTTACATCGCATCCAATATTTAACAAGATATTGAAAAGTTCGTTAAAAAAAAAGAACAGTAACGGATACGTATAAAAACGCAAGCAGAATTGATTGAGAGTGTGTACGTAAGTCATTGTAAAAACCCGAAATCATCATCAATCTGAATATGTGTACATCGTTTTGATTACGACAAAGAACACAAGAAACCCATCCGCCCACTCAACTATACAATTATTCAATTATCAAAAACGACGTCCTCTAATCGATGCTTCCATTAAAACAAATTATAAACATTTAGGCAAAGTCGAAGAGGATTTTTACGTGAAAAAAGAAAAAAAAAAAAAAAAAAAAATTCAACTTCGGCACCCTATGTTAGATAACTTAGATGTAGATTTATCCAATTTACTTTGTTAATCGTTTCAAGAAAGTCGCCATCACTATCAAGACAGGAAACTTAATTTAGCGAACCGTATAAATGTACAGACATTGTTCGCTTCACGTAAAATGATTTTAATGCAACAGTGAACGCTTAAAAAGATAAAGCATATAATGTGAGTAATGCTCTAACAAAGTCGAGAATTATTGTATATTGAGGATATGTGTGCGTTAGTCAAAAATATCAACAACTAAACGTGTCAACGATATTGAGCAAGGAGCAACCAAGTATCTAATTTTCGGTTTTCACCAATAAAGCTCGCTACAGAATACAAAAAATTATTTATTGAAAGTGTTGTCCTTCAGCAGCTGCAAGTTGTTGCCCTTTCTCCGAGACCATTCGTTCAACATATTTGACAAGTGTGGTGAGGACGACGACGGTTAGCAATAGATTGTCCTAGACGAGGAAAGTGCACCGGCGTGGCGCATCGTTATGCGCCAATATTACGCTTTTGAACCTCGTGTCCCATTCAGATCGTGTGTCAGTTTTTGTCAGTAGCGATGCCGTTTCATGTTTTCTCCTCATGTTCAGCGGTTCATAGTGCCCGAACTCTTCCTTGTCACTCTAAATGCAGAACGTTCTCTGTCTTCGTGCCGTCGATCGTTATCGTCAATTTTCACGGCAAATCCATGACTTATTACATTTTGAATGCTCGTAAGAGATCCATTTCCCATCGCCAGTGATAATTCGACGCATTAAAAACTTTTGTTCATGGCACAAATCTAAGAATTTCGGAAATTGTTTTTCAATTTTCCATCACCCCTCCCACCTCTCTCTCTTTCCCTCTCTCTCACTCAGGCTCTCTGTCACTCTTCTTTCCCTGTCTTATTTTCTCGTATCTTTCCCTCTCTCTCTCTCTCTCTCTCTCTCTCTCTCTCTCTTTCTTTCTTTCTCTCTCTCTCTCTCTCTCGCGCGCGCAAACCCCTTCCTCAGTAAAAGCGTGCAGGATTCATTTCCTTTCCCTTTCAGTTTTCCCATAGCATATGAATAAATGCTTAGGAATAACTTGGTAGGTCATGTGGCATTCCTCAATAATTTAAAAATAATGATGACACCCGTAGATCACTTAGTAACGCACATATTTCATTTTCCTTTTTCATCAAATAAACGTAAAAATTTTGGATAAGAAAAGAAAATCGTCTTTTTTCCTAATTATTGTATGTTTTTCTTTTGTTTCCGAATGTGAGAAGAAAAAAAAAAATTGTTTTTTTTTTTTTTGGATTGAAAATTTGGATATGCAATTAGGACCATTTAGTTGCAACATTATATCCGTTTGTTTTTGTTGTTCTTGTGAAATTCTCCTATGGGTAAGAAAAAAGAGCAAAATTTACCGAAAGCGACACAAAAGTTTCGAATTGACCATAAGAACAACTAGTGCGAGATTGAAATTGAATTTTGAAAATTTCATGATTCAATGATTGCCGTTGCTTATACGTAAATTACATCAACAATGACACAAATTCGGTCTAAAGTGTGCGACAAACAACACAAAGGCTGTAACATTCGTGGAAATGACATTCTCATGCCTAATGATACGAACTGTGGTGCACTTAGCAAAAAAACTTCTATTTCACATATGACGAGAAGAGAGACAGGGAGAGGTATGGAATTTTATTCGAATTTGCTCAAATTCAAACTGGAAACAGATAGTTTCATGGGCAAATTTAGTATTCAATAACTATTGTTAATGTTTATCTTTCGTGCACATTACAGGCACAGGTGCACGAACACGCATTTCGGTAAGTAAGCCTGGCATGTTTTTTTCTTCTTTTTTACTTCGCCCACGTTTCGATTACATTCATTAATTATATATTATTGGGAAAATTTGTAATCAGCTTAAATTTTAACGTTTTTTATTTATTTTTTTGCTTCCTTAAATGAACTACATTCAATTGTGTATTAGTTTGTCTGGAAATTTCTTGCTTTTTTCACTTTTCCTTATATAAGAAACAAATTTGCTGCTTTCCATGAATCAAGTTTTCTACAATCTCACACATTGTTATATGGCCACCAGCTTCAATTATCAACTTCAGTTGGTTGCTTATCATCGATGGTATTTCGCCTGTCAACGGTAACGCGATAAAGCCGTCACTGCTTATGCGCTCACATGGATCTTTCACGTCTTACTTACATCCCATTACTACAACATAAAAGTCAATCGCTTTCAGAATATATATAAGCCTGCTAATCGTAATTATCTGTCTAACTACCTGAAAAGACCAATTTTATCCTGATGTCGGGAAAAAACCGCAAGAAATTTCCAACCTACCTAATATTAATAAATTCAAATGCTGAATATGAATACCGTATAAAGATAAAAAAAAAAAAAAAATTGATTGAAAAAATGATTTAATTTAGTAAAACATATTCCCTCAAGACCTCGACACCATCCATAAGGTTAACCGTAGAATGGAACAAGTATAAAAAGAATAAGTTGCTTTTCTCACGGTTTCCATATTTATTTATTTATTTTCTTTTCTCTTAATTATTCCAAATTAATTAAAGTATATTGTCCGTCCATTTTAATCGATGCACACTCTATAAATTGTGCCTGTAATGTTAGTAGTAAAGGAAGGAAAATCGGATTATTTTGAAAACCACCCCGGCGACGATGCCGACAAGCTAGAACTCAATAACTTCACTGTGCTCTAATTTCACTTCTGTATTACATCTTGGCCCTATATTACATAAAGTTGCCCGCCCACATATGAAATCCGGAAACTTAGTAGTGCATCTAGTGCAAATGTAAGTTAAAAGAATTCAATTAATTTTGAATACTTTTTCAATTTCCCTTTAGAGAATCGTATTAGTTCTATGAGGGCAAGAATGAAGAGTTTTTAGAACAGAGACACAATCCTTAATAAGAAATTTATCAAATTTTATAATAAATTTGGTTACGTTGGCTTGTATACTTACATCAATATTTTTGTCGCGACTAAGAAAATGTTCAGCTACATGCACTGGCAAGATGTTCTCTAATAGTTTGCGATTATAAGCCTGCAAGTGTTCCATATCTTCTTTCTCCTCTGAATCGCCGCAAGAAAAAAAACAAAAACAAAAGCAAAAAAAAAAAAAGAATTTATTCTGTTAACATAAACACCCAAGCATAGGACGAAACATGGCTGCGTTCGAGTCTGCTACCTTCCCCACATACAATGTGATAATTGTCGAATTTAAGCCGAATTGAGAGTGTGCTTGCTCCGACTTCCTTATTGCAATTCCATTAAACCTTTTAATTCATTTAACCATACGATCGTATGATTGTTCGTTAATTAACATCATTTAATTTTGTTTTGTTAAAAACGAGTATCGTTCTTTTTTTGCTCATTTTAAAATATCTTGATCGCGTCGAATTACGAAATCGTGTATCTGCCTCTTGACATGGATTCCACAAAATATAGGGAGTCCCAAAATGCACGCACGATGAATGAATCGGCCGCCAGTTATGCGGGAGAGTGTTATAAAAAAAAATGTTAACAGATGACAGTTTAGGGCTAGTAAAACGCGAGAGCATTATAGGGCAGAGCAACGCTTTTTCATTGCTGAAAATTGTTTAAAAAATAATGACATTTCATGCAAAAAGTATGGTCACCTTGACGGCTTGTGATTGTCGAAAAACGAATGCATCCCCAATATGTCACTGTTTGGTGTGGATTTTAGGCTGAAACTATCATTGCATCGTAGTTCTTTGAAAATGAGACTGACCAAGCGACGGCGATTGCTGCTCGACAATGCACGATAATCCGGTTATTTCCGCCTAAATTACCTGAGATTGACGTGAAGCATATCGGGTTTTAACCATACGGCGCCGCCTGCCGTGCATCCCGTAAAACAATTCAAGTAGTGAGTGAACGAGACATTCGAGTCGGTCGGGCACTGGTCTCCCGTTTCGGTGGCCAGAGTTGGCCCCCTAAATGATGTGATTTAGTACCACTGGATTTCTTTCTTTCTATAGGGTTATTTGAAATCAACCCGACTATTAAGGGAGGGGAAACGACACTGCGTCAACGAAATTCATCCACATTTACGTAAAAGAGTCTTGACGTGCATGTATGTCAGGAAAGCGGTAGAGACCGTTTGCCACACATAACTTTATTTTGTATGTATTATGATTAAATAAACAACTTGCAATTAAGCAAAAAAAAAAAACTGTTTTCTATTTAATCCCAATCGGGCGTAAATTTTGGGACATCCTAAACAATCTTTCGAATCAGAGCAGAATTATTTTACATAATTGCAAACAATTGCAAGCTTTATCGCTTTTGCTAAAATATAAAAGAAAATAGAATAAAAAAAAACAAAAAAAAAAAGGAATCTGAGTAGCCGAGTAGACAAAGGATCTCGTGGTTTCAAATGTCGTGGTTTCAAACCCCAAGTGCGATAAAGGCTTTAATAAGGCCGATAGATGCAGATGCAGATGCCTGCATGAACCGATTCAAATTCAAGATTTGCCGCAAGATCTTCACTTCTTCACTCGCAAAAAGGAAATTAAATTCTGTCGTATTTTCCTAGAGTGCTGTCGAATCTGTATGAAAAAAGCAAGAGGCGCTATAATGTTTACATTATTAAATCGGAAAGATCTGCATTTTTAATATATAAGCAGCATATTAAGCCTAAATTGATCCCCTATACCCTTTTTGCCTGTCGTAAGTCTTGGCCTTTTCCAAACGTTGTAATATAGTGCATGAGTTTTAATAAGATGACCCCCATGCATTAGTACAACCAGGTATAGGTCACAGGCAAAAATTCATGGTTAAACCAAGGCGTAGCATATACATCGATTGCCAAAGCGAATCAGTTTGGCAGAAGATTTTGAAATCTCAAATCTCTTTGCGGAATACTTCCGACAGAACTTTTCAACTGCTACTTTTGATTTATCAGCAAACTATCCATATCCGATTTCTAATTTGATTTCAATTCCTACTTTGTTATATCTGAAAATGATGTTTTTGAAGGATTGAGCTCTCTAATATATAATTGTTCGCCTGGACCTGATGGAATCCCCTCATGTGTACTTATATCTCGTGCTGGCGAGCTATGTGGTGTTATCTCAAAGATTTTTAACAAGTCCTTGAATTTTGGGTGTTTTCGCTTTGTGTTGGAAGACTTGTATCCTTATTCCTATTCACAAAAGTGGTAGTAGACAACTTGCAGAGAACTGCAGAGGCATTGCCAAGTTGAATCTCTTGTCTAAACTATTCGAGCAAATTGCGGCGCAGCATATAGGCTTTTCCATGAAATCGCATACCTCTTCTCTCCAACATGGTTTTCGAAAGGGAAGATCTACGGTCACCAATCTGTTAGAGTTTACTTCTCATGTTTTCAAGGCTTTTTCTAGTGGCAAAGCGTTTCATTTGGTTAACCATAGACTACTTATCTTTAAGCTTCAAGTCTCTGGCTTACCTATCTTTTTAGTGGAATGATTAAGCTATTATCTGCATGGTAGATCATTCAGGGTTTGGTTTAACCTCATTACCTCGAATGAATTCCCTGTGACGTCTGGCGTACCTCAAGGTAGCCACTTAGGTCCCATTTAATCCAGGCGCATTAAATCCAGGCGGATCTTAATGTACGCTGATGATGTGAAACTGTTTTCTTCCTTTTCCTTGAAATCGCAATTGTTTCACCTTCAAGTTGACTTAAATAATTTGGTTAAATTGTGCTCGTTAAATTTTGTGAAATAAAATCTAAAAAAAGTGAAGCTTTCTTTCTCAAGGAAGTCATTCAATGCTAATTATTTCATTGACTCACACAAGTTAGAAAAAGTAGATTCGTTCATCGATTTAGATTCTAATCGATTAAAGATTACGGTTCAAATTGCACATTGAACTCTCTTTAAGTCAAGCTAGGTCCGCGCTATGTTTCATTAAATTCTAGACCAAAGGCTTAAGGATACTTACATTAGGGTATACATGTGCTTAATTAGAACAATACTTGAGTAAGTCTCTATTATATAGTCTCTTATAGGTGTTATGTAGGTTCAATTGAATCCGTTCAAAAGCCCTTAGAAATTTGGATTAAGAAACCCTTGCATATCTGCCTCCTTATGAAAATAGATTGCTTCCTGATCCCTTAGAATTACTTGAAAAACTTGGATTTATTCTTCATTACTTCTTAATTAAAGTAATACATGATATTCTCGATTCGCTCATATTGGCGGGATAAACTTTAATGTCTCTAACTGTTTTTCTAGGAAGTTTATCTGAGATGAATCAATGTAAATATAATTATGAGCTGTTCAATCCGTTCAGAGTGATTTGCAGAAACATAACCGATGCCTATCATTTAATCTCAACATCGGGCTCTTCAAAGTCTATCAAAACAACTATGCCTAACATGCGCGAACCATGTGACTATGATTCAAAAATTGACTTGCGTTGTCTACTGCTATCGGTTGCCAAGCTTTCGCAATTTTCCAAAGACTTGGGGTTTCACTTGCAAGTTAGATCTACATTGGTTGTGTGGGTGTCCGACTCTGCTAGCTGTGTACAAGCTTGTTTTGTTTTTTTTTACTTCACTCTTATTTATTTATAGATTAATTGCTTTTTTTCTTTACTTTTCGTCATATACTTTATACTAGATTTTAATAATAATTAGATTTACTTCAGTCAATTGAATTTGGCTGTTGACTTATTTTAGTTGAGTCAGCCGTGTGTAGGTAAATAAATAAATAAGAAAAATAAATAAAACTAAAATGGGTATTATATCTTTCTTTCTCAAGAAGGAGGTCGTTCATTACTCAGTATTTCATTGATTCGCACACGTTGGGGGACGTCGACTCGTTCACAGATTTAGGCGTTCTATTTGGTTATAGGTTACGTTTCAATTTGTATATTGAGATCTCGTTAAGCAAAGCTAGGGCCGCGCTTGGTTTTATAAAGAAGTGGTCCAAAGAGCTTGATGATCCTTATATTACGAAAAGGCTTTACATGTGTTTGCTTAGACCTATACTTGAGGATGCCTCTGTTGTGTGGTCTCCTTCATATAGGTGCTATGTAGATTCAATTGAATCTGTTCAAAAGCAATTCTTGATGTTTGCCCTTAGAAATTTGGGTTGGGGCCAAATTGCCCCTCTTCCACCCTATGAAAATTCCTTCGTAATCAAATTAATAAATGGTACAATTGACTCGCCCGCATTACTTCGTGAGATAGGCTTTAATGTCCCTAACCGCTTCTCTAGGCACTTTATCTTGATAAAGCTTAGTCAATCCAAATATAATTACGAACTGTTTAACCCGCTCAGAGTTGTTTGCAAGAACCTTGATGACGTCTAACGCTTATTCTCATTAACGGACACTTTAAAGTCCATTAAAGCAACATTGCTTAATACGCCCGATTTGCCTATGTCGTACTTGAACTAACTTTTAAAATTTAAAAGTCATTATGAGTCGAAAATGAATTATTGTTAACTATTATCGGTAGCCAAGCGTATGCATGTTTGCGATAACTTAGGTGTTCACTTGCAATTTGGTCCTGTACCGGTTGTGGGTGTGGCTCTGCGCTAGTTATGTACATGCTTTTTTTCAGTTTTTTCCTTCTTATTTGTTTTATTGCACTTATACTAAGCTTTAATATTAATTAACATAAAATTTACTTTAAGAGTCAATTGAACTCGACTGCCAATTTGTTTTAGTTGAGTTTCGTGTATAAGTGGAATAAATAAATAAATAAATAAATAACACACTGTGTTTATTGGAGACGAAATTTAGGCGTTTATTATGAACTGTTAAACTGTGATTACGAAATGCTACCAACAAAAGTCGATCGAATTGAATCGCTCGCTGTTCAAAAAATTACCAAAAATATCAAAAAAACCCCAACTTCACAAAGGGTTGTTTCTTAAAACACGGCATCTATTCACCCATCCATGCGTTCATGCGGCAAAATGGGTGCACGATACACACACATTGAAACTGTTAGTCCATATGGGTTACTCAGCAGACTGAAATCCTTCCGATCATCAATCCTTCCGATTGTTCGCTCACAGAGGATTAGAATAAGACAAGTTTTACTGGCATTGTTCCCAAAAATGGACCGGGAGCTCTGGCACGTACGTTGAACAATTAATTTTTATTGCTCTTCTGCACTTAAAGGGTTTTACTGTTATGGCTTATTTCTCATTAGAATCCTTATGCGAGATGGCACCAAAAAAATAGACCTACGCGGCCCCAATTCTGTAAGGTTAGTTTTTATGATAAATTGTTTCTATGAACGAATCTTCATCAAGTAGTATTGAAAGTTACTTCTTTTTACTATATATAAAAATTTAGTTTCTTGTTGCGTGGCAAAAGGCGTGGCAAAAAATTGCCCCTTTCGATCCAAAGTTTTCACACCAATTTAGAATAGCGAAAGAATATTACTAAGCGATTCCAAAAATCACACTACATGACGGCTTACTAATATAAGACGTTGTATAGATATGGGTTGGAAAAGTGGTCCGATACGAATGGTATTCAGTCGTGTATAATAAACATCAGATGACTGGGGGGACAGATTGACATACATACTTAGCTTAGCTTTGGTATAAAAAAAGATGGGCCTATCTCAAGTCCTTTTTTAAATGTTACATACGCCTGCATAAACTTGATACACACGCTACCAAATAATTGCTGCAATGGATATAAAACGATTACTGTTAGGTAAAACCTTTTAAAGAGCTGTCATATAACTAAAGTTTACTTTTACTTGTCAAACTTCAAAAGCACTTACGTAAGCCAAATATATTAAAAAAAAAAATTTTTTATATAAATGTTATTAAACAGGGAAAAAATCATATGAAATGTTTTTGTTATAACAAAGTCTTGTCAAAGCTCCTTCCATACATTCTAACGAATAGTATTTCGGATTTCATGTCATATCACTTCAGTCATATACAGAAACTTTAAACATAATATTTTCATTTTAAATGAAATAATGTTCGCTTAACATATTGTTTATCGATGCTACAGCTAGCTATGCTGTACTTTTAATATTGATCACAATTCGAAATACTGAGGAGCCCGAACATTTTAAGGTTACATTGAAAAAATGTTTGCATTTTTGCATTCGCACGAATTACCCAACGATTCGGAATGTCTTACTGTTAAGTAGAAAAATTTTGGAATTTTTCTTAATGAACTTTACATTTTTATAATTAATGATGTGAATGGGTGAATGAATGAGTGAATGAATGAATGCTCAAGAAAAAAAATGAACGTGAATATGACAAGTTCAAGTGGATTATAAATTTTTGAATTGATTTGTCGGATCTTACTATGGTTTTTGTGCAAGGCCAAGCTAAAGGATAGCGCATGTTTCGGCTTAACTCATAAATAATATTTTGTTGGCTTCGATTTGAGTTTTTTTTCTTTTTTTTTTTACAATCTTTTAGTGACTTCGCCCGCTGACATTGACTTACCAGTTGCTTGTAACTTCCATATAAAGTCTAAGCGATAGGTGGCCTCAGTCTGGTGGCTATGAAAAATCAATGTCAACATAAATGCAAAAAGAAATATTGAGTCAATTATGTAACGCAGCAGTGCCTCTTCGTTGCTGAGTTCGGTAAAGGTCGGCGGAATGTGAAAGTAAAACGTAACCAAATCGTTTTATTTGAAATGATTAGTTAGTTATGGTTATTTGCATCGACCAATTATTTAGTACGCCATCGCCATTCATTCGCCAAAGTATTGCATTGGTTAAGTAGTTCGTGTTCATGTTCGTTAAGAGTGCCATTCATGTTCAACAATTAAACGAATTAATTGAAAAGAATTGAAAGAAAAAAAGAAAAAAAAAAAAACAAAATGAAATTATTATTTATTTAGATTTTTTATGCACAACATTAAATCATATTAAAATTACACTTATTTTCCTTTGCTTATTTTCTTTGCGCTCTATGCTGTAGACTGTACGTGTACTCATACCTATATTACAGAAAATGTATAATTGCAGGGAAAATTGCTTGATTGAAGAAATTTGACTTGAAAACAACCCTTTAAATAGTAATGGACGGGGCAAAGGTTAATAATGAGTTAATGAACATGCACCCTACACCTGCAGCTTGAACTCAAACTTAAGGTTAGATTCCGATAGATAAACGTACAAAATTTTGCAGAGTACGTCCCTCCGTCTCCGTTTATCCATTGTAGATTGCTTTTTTTCGCTGCGAGTAACCGATTAAAAGTGCGAATATCTATAATCGAAAGACATATAAAATATACTATCTTGGCATTCAAGTGATCAAGCTTAGATAGCTTGCGCTCCAAATAGCTTGAAGAACGAAAAAATTTCACTGAAAAATGCTAAACTTCCAATATATCTCATTACGATGGGAAATCTTATCACAGCTGTGCTGATTAATGCGACCAAACTGGTGAAGAATCTTTAGTAAAGTTTAGAAGATAGCTTTCATGTCACATGACTTCCTTCTTCCTTCCTAAACCTTCTTTCTCAAAAGATTTTCTCATTATAAAGTCCGGTCATTCACTCGTTCAAACTAGCTCGCTATTCACGGCTCATTCGATATATCTTAACGATTACTATCTTATGCTCTCTTCTTTAGCTCGTTAATAACTTAAATTTTCTTCATGACTTTTACATAAAAAGTTATTTTTTTTTTTTAAATTTTTTCCTCTTTCATTATCATGATATAAGCTCTTGGCATCTCGATTTTCGTATAAATAATTAACTTTCCTTATCATGATTGTTTTCCTTTTTATTAAATTTCTCAATTTCTGATCCGGTTCTTCTTCCTCCGTTACTTAATTATGCTCTCATATTATCTTTACAATTATTATAATTTGCATATGAACGATTGATTGTTAATAATAAGGAGATACTTACAGCAACGTTAATCGAATTTCTTTGCGCGCAAGTAAATACATTGAGGAACTTATATAGAATGCTGCGGCCAACACAAGTAAAATTAACTTTAATAATATACGCAAAACTTGATAAGTTGCACAGGTCATCATCGACAATAGGGTTAACAGCAAGAATGTCTGTTTGAAAGAAGTTAAAAAAACCGTTTAAAATATGGGTAAAAGAAAAATCTATATAAAAAGTTTGTACTTGGGAAAAAGTAAACAGTGCCGAGCAAAAAAAAAAAAAAAAAATTAATGAATAAAATAAAATTTTCGAAATCTTCGAAACTTAAAATAATAAAAACCATTTTCTTTAGAGTTAAAAAACTAACCTATAAGAGTAGTATTCCAAGTCTCGACTGAAAGTGAAACATTATTCAATCTCTTGCCGAGAGCAGAAATTTCTAGTAAGGAAAATTTTTATGGAAAATCTTTTATGATGTACATAGAATACTTCCTACACGCCTTAGCGCAAAATTCAAACTCAATTAAAAATCTACTTTAGTACACACACATTCATTGAGTTTAATAAAATAGCTGAGAGGATGTTAGTTTATCACTGTAAATTTTAACGTTACTTAGCAAAGTAATGGCAACTAATTTTTCTTCGTTTATAATGAAAACCTTTAGTTCAATATCGATTTTTTAAACGATAATAATCTAAACGTGGATAAGTTTTGTTTATAAGAACCCCAGAAAAACAAAGGAATAATGGGAGCTCACATAGTAATCTGTAAGCGTAAGAGTATTGCAACATAAACATGAAACTCTCATCAAAATTATCAAAATCATAATATCGAACTATAATGGAGTAGCTCTGGCAATAACTCTTCATCATCATAAATCCTTTAAAAAGGCAAAATTCTTCAACTTGCAGACGCCACGGTCTATCGCTCCAATATATTATTTGTTTTAACTATTGGCTGCTACGTAAGAGAAGAGCGTTGAAAAATGGAGAAGCAAAAATAAGGGAAGAAGAAAGAAGATAGTTTAGTAAAGGTGAAGAGAAAAAAGAAAGGAAAGACAAGAAGATGATAAAAAAGAACAGACGAAAAGCAAAGAAAAGAAAAGAAAAGAAAAGAAAAAAATGAAAAGAATAGAAAAGAAAAGACAAGAAAAGAAAAGAAAGGAAAAGAAAAAAAAAGAAAAGAATAGAAAAGGAAAGAAAAGAAAGAAGAAAAAGAGAATCAACCGCAAGGAAAAGAAGAAAAGAAAAGCAAAGCAAAGTAAAGAAAAGAAAAGAAAAGAAAGGAAGATAATGCAATAGAAAATAAAAGAAGAAAATAAAAGAAAATGAAAGGAATTAGAAAACAGAAGGGAAGAGAAAAGAAACGTTCCGAAGAAGAGGCAGTGGAAAAGGAGAGTGAGAGTTTCTGTGACAATTTCCCATTAAGAATTTGATTTAGTTAAGACTACTCATGTTATCTTCGCACATCTGGGCGACTGCGCCTGCGTCTGAGTTATTATATTCATTGAAAAGCGGCTGTAGCATGACCGTATAGACTACTAAGTCAGGTGAGTTCAAATCTCAACGCGGTTGACCGTACTAGGGTCACTCTACCCCCTGTCTTGTTCCTCACTTCTTTCTGATCGTCACCGTGTTGCATATAGAGGCTAATCCCCTGAATGATTGGTCATATTGAAAAGCAAAAAAAAAAAAAAATAAAACTTCAACAGAAAATATAACATTTGAACAAATACAAAGAAAGTGAAATGAGACCTAGTGAAATCCATTTAGAACAAAAAGCGGAAACAAAAAAGAAAAAATTAAAAAATTAATTAAAACTAAAGAAAAATATAAAAAAAATTTCAATTAAATATAAAACTATTTATTATTTAATGGTTTATCGAAAGATTTATTCGCTCTTACATTTAAAGCTAAATAATAATCACAGAAATAGCTTTTGTTCGGTTCATCGTCGTCGGTGGGTGTGTTTAATAGTAAATTGGATGATAACGATGATGACGACGATGATGATGATGATGATGATGATGATGATGATGACAATGTTAGTTTTGCGCTTGATTCCATAAGCGGTTCGTCGAAGAATGTTAAAATCTTTTTCACTGCCGACTGCTGCAGTTGTTCTCCGATATAATTTACCTCGGGCAGAGTAGTTATGTTCATGCTATCGTTTTCCTCTTGTTCAACTATTGTGTATACCTTAGCAGAACTTGCAATTAGTTGGTTGGCGTTATTTAAAAAAATCTCTTGTATCTGTAAAGAAAGAGATGAAAACAAAAAGAACACAAAATAATGATAACAAACGAGACGAGAGAAGACGCACGTTCGCAACTATTCACGTCACACACCGAATCTACGACGAAAAGATTTTTGCAAACAAATATATTCACTTGAAGTTAACGATTGAATCCTCATATCAAATTTGATACGCTTTTTGCTTACAATACATCTCACTTCTCTTTGTTAGAGATGTGAAATTCAACGTAAATAATTCTATTCATACAAATTAAAATTAACGCGCATCTTATAGATCGTAGAAGTAAACGATTAAAATTTTCAAATAAACGATATTTGCACAATAAATATCAAATATCATATTTAATTGGACATTTTGTTCATTCTCGTCATATTCAATTTAAAAATCAGTTCGCAATCTTATCATTTCTATTCTCACCTTTTCTCACAAATTTTCTTTGAAAATATTTATTTCCTTTTCTGTTATAATAAAAGAATTGCAATGTTATGAATTTGTGTCATTGTGAACTTTACGCGACAACAATACAAATAATAGAGTCTTTATCATATACATGAGAGCATATATACGCTCCCATGTATCTTTTGTTAAAGGAATTCTTTTAATATCTTAAACATTTCTGAAAATAATCCTTTTCAAAGTAATCGTGTTAAGAACTTTCTCTTCTTTAGAAATGGAAACTTTTCAAATTGCATTTTCTCTCGCTTTTAATTTTGTTTGATATGTAAATTTCAAATAAAGTTATGTGCATAAGCAATAGAGTAAACAAGTAAGGAAACTATATTCAACTTTGACCGAAACTTTGACACCCGTTACTTAAAAAGCATACAAAAGTAAATCGCACACTAACGGAAACGTTGCCATGTATGATTTTAAAGAATATACATATATATTCAAATAAAACTTCAGACATAGATGCATGTGTGTGTAAGGGCGCATCTCTGTTCATGATAAAAAGATTTCAAATTATGCGGATTTTTTAAAAATATTAATATAATATTTTACATATAGATGACAAGTGTTCTATGATATTACATTTACTTATGCGTTGGACTGGCTGATTGAAACGTGAATAAGATCATGTTTTAGAATTTTTTGACATGACATAGATAATAAAAATTATCTGTTAAACGATTTAGAAACGTTATCTTGTGATTAAGTTCCCAAGTAACCAATAGTTTTCTTCCATGAACTGTCAATCATTTTACTCAGATTATTGCATCGTTTAAAAAAGGAAAAAAAAGTTTTATATATATATATATATATATATAACATATATAACTTCGCAAAATTTCATATTAATATTTGATTATGATTTATCATTTCCTTCAAGAAATTTCATACTGTTACCGCTACGGTACAGTTCAGATCCAGTTCAGGCGTGAAATTGGTTTCATGGTCGAATTTCGTATACAGCTTAATATCGCTTTACCCCCGTCGTATATGAGTGCAACTAAGTGTAATTTCAGACTTATGATGCGTATCTCGTTGATGTTATTGCTAGCGAGATAATTAATGTATTAATAATATTCCATTCCACGAAAATGCGTTGAAAAATTTTCCTTTCTCATTATGCTTCCATGTATAAATAAAAGGATACAATACTACCTTTGAATGCAGCAAACTTACGAAGTTATTAATAATACAAAATCTTGATAAACGTAGAGTAATACTTTTTCAAAAAAAAAAAAAAAAGTTTGATCTAAGAAGCTCAACTAATATCCTTAAATTGTAAAAATATTAATTATTTATTCATTTGTTACTAGAATAGCTTTCAACTTTAACGAAAGTCACGCGTCGCGACTCGCGAGTCAATTTAATAGCTTTTATGTTTTAATCATATATCTCTTCCTCATAATTATCTAATATCACATAATAGAATGCAATGACAAACGTGAAACGCTACATACTCCTTCTACGGGTGGATAAGTGGTGAAGGCAATTAAAACGAATTTGAAAAACAACTCACAAGCTGTAGTAAAAAATATAGAAACGCAATTGTATGAATGGATAGTAACGATTATAAAAACCTATTTCCTTCCTTTTATACTGACTTTCGCAAAAAAGGAGAAGCAATTATTATATCTCACGCTATTTATAACATGCGAAAATCGATGTTATATTCATATATGCGACAAGTGGTTGAGATTTCACGTTTATTTAATTATGAAATGCTATCCTCCTATCCTATCTGACCGGTCTTCCTATTATCGCGAGTTATTTACTATTTTTAAAAACAGTTTAGCAAAATTCATTGAATTCATTCTTCGTACTTGTAATAAGCTTTAATTTAGTTTGCCTCCCTGCCAACATGTCAAGTGCCAATCGATATTTCGAGCATTTCCACGTATATTCAATTTTACATGCACCTTTCGTTCCGATTATAGTGCAATATATATAATACATATAAATTTGTCTTTATTTGACATCGGTGCCAAATGAAAAAGTTTCGAAAGTATTATAATAGAATGCGACAAACTACGTAAGTGCTGCATGCCTGTGTGAAATATGACGACCGCCACTAACTGGTGGTTTATCTTTTTCTTAATAATCCCTTTAATATGAACATGAAATGAAAGGATTCGCATTGTTAATGACTAAAAGAGAAGAAATCAATCATATGAAAAATTTTCTTTTAAAGTGGGATTTCGTGGAAGGAAATTGAAATGAAAGGTGGAAAATAAATTTGGTCTTAGTTGCTTTTATGTAATTACACGTAAAAGCTGGATACCTTAAAGAGTTTAACGAGCAAGAAATTTGATTTTCTCTAAATGTCTCAAACTGGGTGCAAAATCTATGTTTCACCTTTGAATTCGCTTAAATAAAATTTTTTTTTGAGAGTCATCCATATTGTGATTCCGAAAGTACATGTAAATAAAACATGCTTCTTATTGGGATTTCAATCAATTACTTATTTATTCGTTTATTTTTGTTTTCACTACATTTTGCAGACTTTGCCATTATTTGTGAAGTACAAGATCATTAATATGTGTTCCACGTACACCGGTACACCTTACAGGACTGCGTCTCGTTTCAAGACAATCTTCTATAACTTTTCCGCACATAGCGAGCAATAACTCGATCAGATCTTGATGGATGTTCGTTTAAAGAGTTTGAGGAATGTTGGTGGTCGCATCAAAAAGACGTGGAATTACCGGTCTGGGAAATTTGTCACGTAACAATCGCGAAACGGGGCGTTTCTTGCAGCTGCTTGCAGCGTTCTATTGAAAGCAAATATCTTCAACATCGATATCTTCAATTTGACGGCATTGGCGGTGCGTCTCACGCCCTCGTCATTTTCAAAAAAGCATGGGTGCAAAGGCCATGCCATACAATATTTTTTTTTGGGTATGCAATTGTTATTCGAAATTTACTTGTAGAATTTCCCCCTGCCCGAGATGCGAAAATTTTACTTGCTGACACGTCCACCAAGCGAAAAATGGGCGTAATCGCTCAAGAAAATTCGGTAAAAAAAAAAAAATCATCCATTAATCATTATTGCTGAGTATCTTCTATCTAGCATTGCATGATCAGTTGGCTTCAGTTCTTATGTTAGCTGGATTTTGTAAGCAAGGAGATGTCAACTCAAATGTAAATATGCCATAACGTGTCGTGTAATGAATAAATTTAGATCTTCCTCGACACTTTCACTAACAGCATCAATATTTTCGACCAAGTGCACGTTTCGATAATAAGTAAGTCTTCGTAAGCTTGCCCAAAATACAAATTTGATAATTTATATAACTCGCATGGCTTTATACAAACAATCAAATCTTTAATATTATTTTTTGATTATATATATCGAACTTGGCCATGCCAATAATCATTTCGTTCGGCGAGAAATATTAAACTTTTATTTAATGAAAACTGTATTCGCACGTGGGCAGAGAATGGATCCTTACATTCATGTAAGGCGATTGTATGCTTTCAACTAATTTCCAATTATTTCGTATTCATTATTTTATAAAATGAACATTATAATCCGATCGCCACTATTTAATCATTCAAAATATAAAAAATATAAAAAATAGCAGAAGTACTTTCCTTTAAATAGCGATCACAAATAACGTTATCACCAACTGTGGCCACGCTTCAAACATGTTCAAAAGTTCTATTGCACCTACAGCATTTAAACTTGGATTTGTTTTGCAGAAAAAAAAAAACTATTTTATCGAAAATACTTTTCAAATTCATAATTTATTATAATCACAGTTGTAGTCAGTCTAACAAGATGGTAACAAAACAAAATTTAATTAGAAAAATTTCTTAAAGAATTTGATAGGTATAGGTGGTTTAATTTAGTGAAGTATATATATATATATATATATATATATATAAATATATATACATATGTATATATATATATATTTACATGTATATATATATATATGGTTTTCGACATATGTAGCTATACGCAATTGGTAAAGAAAAAAGTTCGCAGCATTGTCCTCAATAACGTGCTTTTACAAACTACTTTTATTAGCTCTACTAGCAAGTCATAGCATAGTGCGCGTGAACGGTGACGATTCACGGATTATTAAAAAAATTACATTTATTTATGCGTCAAAATACCAAAAATTATAGGCTGCCATGAAAAGTACGTCTTTGTATGGGGAAGTGACTTGGTCGAAAATTAGCAAAAATTTATTTTCCCAGTAAAGATCCTATATATTTCCATAATAAAATGCTACTGCCATATAAAGTATATTGTTTCCTGAGAATTCATTCGTGGGAGGCGATCAAAAAAATTGATCTATCCAATTTAAATAGTAACGATTTTTACCGAGAAATTTGGTATATAGATTTTTTTTTTTTTACATAACGACCTTTTTTAAAATATGGCTTTGTGTGGGAATTTGTCGCTAATCTGCTCGGATCCAATTCATTTTCAATAGGCTTCGTCTTGGGTCCAATACAAGATACTAAATTTCGTCAGAATATCTCAAATATTGCCACGTGCAGCAAAGGAATGGATACAGAATAAGTTCAAATCGATTCAGAAAATAATTTAGAATAATATGATAGTCTTCGTCATTGGATCAAAATACGTCGGACACGAACCATATTTCGTTGAACATAGAAATACATAAGCGGACTCCAGATAGATAGTCAGATAGATTAAAAAAATGAAAATATGAAAATGAATGTATTAATCAATATAACAAGGGACGTTATATGCGATTATTGTACTTCATACCGCGAACTGTGGAGGGTACAAACAATGTGACATTGGTTAATTCAATCGCAAAAATAATTACGTTTTAAAGATAAATTAAAATTCTGAAAAAAAATTCCTTTCTTTCATTTCGACTACGGCGATTATGCTTTGCAACAACAATCGTGAGATTTTGTGATGGAAATGCTTTGTCAAGATCAGCAACAAGCGAATGTTTTCCTTATTTTTAATCTGGAGTCATTGAATCAAGGCCAGAAAGCAACTTCGAAGTTTTTGCATCAAGGTGCACAAAAAAGAAACGAGACCGAAATGGAATCGTGGGATTTTTGCAGAGATTGTTAGTGGGACGGTGAATAACGTACAACAAAGATCGTAATCCCGAAAAAATAAAGCTGAACAAATGACGGCAAATCCCTGGTGGACACTATGTGAGGCGTTGCTTTATATTTTGCGGGAGTGGAAGCAAATAATGCGTCGTGAGCAGCTCCAACTTGGCCACCCGAGAACTTCGATCTACTACTTATTGTCAACGACCAACAACGCCTGAGTAAATGCGAGCAATTGAGATAAAACTGATTGATCAAGAGGAAAGCCACCGTTTTTCGTTGAAACAATGCCGGAGCAAACGCATGGAGTTGAATTCAAAATAGTCTGTAAAAACAATGTCATTCATTTGTTCGCACAAAATGATGACATGCTGATATCATCAGCTATATATGGCGAAAGCTTATCGATCTGTAACTTTACTTAAAGAGCAAAGGAAAATGTATTTGAAAAACGCTCTGAACTTTTTCCTTAACACTCCATATATATACATACATATGTATAAGGGTTGGTAAATTCTAGTAAATTGCAAAAAGCATTGAGATTTCATCAATGGTTGTGTCGTTGCCCAACACGAAAATTTCATTCCAAAACGATTTAAAACCAACTAACTGACGATATAGGAAACAAAAAAAAGAAAAAAAAAAAAACGTTATGTTTATTTATTGTTCTCGGGTCGGATAATTTTCAACTCTATGAATTTCTGATAGATATATGCATACACGTATATATGTATGAATGCATTTTTATTGTACTTACCATCGATAGTCCGGTTGTAAGAGCAATCAATGCAACTGTTAAAAATGCAAAACATTGTGATAGCATACGATTGCTATGAATTTTTAATGAAAATCGTTTGATGCTACTGGGGAACTGTTAAGAAAAATATATAGAATTGAAAATGAGATTGAAATTGAACAGAAAGCAAAAAAAAAAAAAAAACAAAAAAAAAATAAAATAACATTTGTAACAACGGCAACAACAACAGCAACAACAACAATAAAATATGACAACAATATCAAAAAGATAACATATAAGAATTTTTCTTATTATTATTATTATTATTATTATTATTTTATTGGTTTATTGCACTTAAAAAGGAAATCTCTCTGATGGAAAGTTCGTCTGACGTCGTAATTCAGGATATCCTCATAATAAATTTTACTTACTTCGTCAGTGAAATCGCGGCACGCCACCAACAATGTTAGGATAAACAATAAAGCGATAACCACACACGTTGTAACGACAGTATAAATGTTGCTGAATAAAAAGTACGAGAAGAAGAAACGAAAAATGAAAGTGAAAAGATTGCATTAAAAGTGAAAATGCTAACATTACATCCCGATATCCCGATTAAGTATATATATATACATATATACTCTTGATCAGCCGTAGATATATATGTACAGCGATGGAACTTTACTCGTTTTATGAAACTTTTGTGAGTTTTCTTAAAAATATGCAAGAAAAATCTCTTTCTCTCACCCACACTACACACTCAGTTCCAAAGAACCAAAGAATTATATTATCGTGGCCATTCAGTTACAGCGTCTAAAATAAATCGGCTTAAATGAGAAACGTTTTCCGATAAATCTACATTTGAATCTAGATTCGTAATTAAAATCATTTTCTTTCCGATATTTAGTAAAAGCAGCAACAGAAGTTTAACGTGTCAGATATCGAAAATTCGCCTTGAAGCGTATATAACTTACATTTGCAATATAACTTACATTTGAAAGATCGTTAAACGCATAGCACTGGTGCCCAAAAGCACAATAAGACTGCAATAGAAGTAAACACTTAACAGGCGATCTGGTTCGGTGGCATACTATAGTCAAGATAGATAGATAGATAGACAGACATTTAAATATACATTTATTTCTTTAGTATATTTATAAACATTTCCAATACTTTTTCTTAATACCTTTTTCTCCAGATTTTTGTCTTTGAATGATAATAGAATCGATTTGCAGTGCTCAGCTCTTAAATGATCGATACTTCGAGCGTCTATGGCTCTCATTAAATATTCATTGACTTCGTCTTCAGGATCCTTAGTCAATTCTGTATTATCGTTAAAACCAAATCTGAAAAACAAAGTATAAAAGGAGGGGTTTTGAAAAACACAAAATTCATTGCTTTCGTCCTTTTTTATCTGGTTTTTTTACGTTTTGAAAAAAATGTACTAACAATAGTGTCTCCTTCAAATACGTGTATTCTTGCTTTGTTCTATAAACTCATTTGTCTCAACCGTAGGTAGCCCCGGACCTGGAAATCCTTAAAGGCGAAAATTCGGTATTTTTAATATCGCGATACTTCTTCTCTCTGAGAAATCTGGCGAAGGCAAGTGGAACGTAGAAACTTTCATTCATTAATTTACAGTTCGCATATGATTTTTTAAGCTAATGACATTTTCTGGAAAGGTCGATCTGCTAAAAGATGTTAAACCTTTTCTTTACTGTCGCTACTACCATGAAGTGAAGTGAAGCTACTACTAAGAAAGTGTGATAGTTGCTGGACATTAAAACAGGGTAGGATGGCCCTCAGTTCAATGAGTGGAAAACCTATGACAATTGCCTTGAGAGAGATTTTTTGATGGCACTTATGTCAATATTGTAATTGGATGCTTTAAATGCCCGCCGGATATTTGGGAATGACGGTTCGCGGAGTGTCGTCGTGCTATGGTTGTACTTAATGGAAGAAGCACACGTGGAAGTAACAAGATTACCTTGACACTCGTGCTTAATCAGACCATAGAAAGGCAAAGGTAGGTCTTCCCGCCCTGCCCCATGGAAAATATATTATAATCTTTGGTATGTCCTTGGATAAGCTGAAATTGAGCATTCTTATGTAGGGACATTTGTGGTAGTGGACTGTCCAGTTCGATGAAGGTCTTCTCAAAGCTTATTTGTAAAATTTCAATCAGCAAACGAGCGTTAAATTTCTATAGAATATGGCAACAAGAGCTAAAGAAGAACGTTCAGTTGACGTGGAAGCCGGTCTTGTATGGAGCAAAGCAGCTTCTCTTCCATAGATTCCTTATGGAAAATATAAAATAGTGTCCTCTCGAAACATATGGGTACGATCTAGAAGGAGATAAGCTCCTATGAATCATTTAGGAAAACTTTCTATGAATATTTAAATTTAATCTGGCAATGGGATATCACCTTTGAATATGAATCTTTTGATTAGGCAGAGGTAGAGGGCATTTCCGAAAAATATATTTGCAGTGTATGCCTGTATGGATACGTAAAAGACAGTAATGCTTCAATTATTCTCAGAATTATTCAGAAAAAGTCACTGATAGTTACCTCGTGGTTTGATTCCTTATAAAAGAAAACAAAAACATAATAAGATTTGGGTTAACAGAATTTTCACGGCCGCGAAAGTATAGCACAAACCAGAAAAAACCGGACATAGGCTTTTTAAAAGAAGCCTCTTCATCGAATTAAAAAGTTCAGGTCACACCTTTCTAAGCGCGAACATTTTAAAATATTTTATCGAAGAGCAGGACAGGCACGCATCTATGATCTTCGCTAATTCCTGCATCAATGAATGGTTAAGAATATTAATTTGCATTGGTAACACTATGTAACGTTTAATTAATTCGTCGAAAACTATCCCTTTAACTTGTTGGACTTTAGTTCCATTGACTTACTCGAAAGCGACATCAATAAATCGATTGACAAGTAGAAATGCCTTGAATATAACGAAAGTAATTAATCACTTTATCCTTACAACTGATACAAGCTTCAATTACGTATGTTCCCCAGAGAAGAGAAACAGTGCAACAATATATTGCCTTAATTGAGGGCAAAAGTTTCGATAATTTTTTAATGTTTTTATTTTATTATTATGGTTACGGAGTTTTTATTTTTTATTTATTTGGTGTTTTTTTTTTTTTTTTTTTTTTTTTTTGTATTAACTCGAACGAACAAGAAAAGCTTTTTTTATTTATTTTTCATTCACTTTACTTACTTGGAAGTGTTTTTCTGCATACTGCCATGTCCCATCATGCGTAATTCCTTCGATATATTGCCATTAACTTGTAAACGATTCCGTGACTTTTTATGCTAAAGAGAAAAATGAAGAATGAAAAAAAATTTAAACAATTAAGGATTATATAGAAGAAAAAGGAAAGAAAATTGAATGAAACTTTTATTGAACATTTTATGGCAACAAATATAACAATGTTATTTAAGAACTATTACATACCGGTCTGTAAATATCACCCGGTATTATAAGATAGGTTTCAATTTGATGATCTTTTAAATATGAATTACGTTCGGCACCTTTCCCTACCTCCACTTCGTAATCACCATCCAGGCATGTTAGAGTTTCTTTGGTTATATGAACACGTCTGAAAATTATAATGCATAAGTAATAGTAACAAATTTATTTTTATATTCTACACAATTTATGGCACAGGCTATATCAAGAATATGATAACCAAAAGGAACCGGACGATAAACCGATCGATCAGTTTCCGAATCTAATTAAGCTTGTTCATCTGTGGCTGTTTGGTGTCAGGGCATATCTCATATTCGCGTAACGCGGAGACGATCAGAAAAAAGTGGGCAATGTTTGCCTGAGCGTTCACTATAGCTGCAATAATTTTTTAGATATTTCGACGAGATTCAATATAATATTTGGCCGAAATATTGAAAGTAGATTACACCGAAGCGTATCTATGACTACTTGTCTCGTGACACTTTATTTTGAAAAACTCAATATTATATGATATGAATTCTCGGCAAAAACGCCAAGTATTAATTTTCTCGCATGCGATATTTTTATGAAAATACATGGTTCGGACGGCGTGATTTTTTTAAGGGCCTTCCATATAAGCGTACACAAAATAAATCTTCTCATTTTCAATTTTTTATGATGAAAGTAAACCCGTTACGGCAATTTGACACAAAAATTAACTTGGGGTAATCTTATAACACATAAGTTCATTTTGTGAATCTCATCCTATATAAGCGTAATATCCATATGACAAAAGGGCATAACTTGTAGTTTTTTATGACAAAAACAAAAAATGAAGAGTAATAAAATTTTTAAGAGAAAAATTAAATTTTTTGAATTTGAACTATGTCAATTCAGATTTTTGATATCCTGCAGTATGGCGGCTATCTTCAAAGCCCTGTATTTACATAAAAAGAAGATATTATTTTGGATTTACCGTTACGAGAATGAATGAATAATGATTATGTTAGGCAAGATATTGTAGGCTGATCTTACTCGACCATAATATTTTTTCTTCTTTTAACAGCTCTTTCTTAAACTGTCCTACGTTATTCTGTTAGCGCTAAAATATTTAGCGTATTTATGTTTAATAATAATATATTTAGTAATTTAATAGTCTCTTTCGATTGTTATCCAACTCCAAAAAATATAAAAGACATAAACGCAGAAGTCGTATCATGCTTTTCTCAATATCCAAAAATGCATCCAAAACCAAAAGCCACAAGCTAGCAATCTATGAAAAAGAATCTGTTTCAAAATTTTTTCCCGATCAAAAGAAGGCAAATAGAACAGTAATAATCGAGGAAGGGATTAGGCAAAAATGTAAAAAATTCGTTGAAAAGCTTACGCTAGAACATGCCGCTCTTACTAAATCTGTCGAAGACGTAATACCTCAGGTGTAACGATGTGGCAAAGGAAATACAAAGAACATTTATAAACCTATATGCATATATATCGTTCATAATTAACATCGAAATCTTTATCTCACATTCTCAACTTCTTTGCACAGATACCGACTATGTTCGAAGCGTTCTTACTTTCATACCTATTCACATCGATCATCTCAATGAAATGAATCTTGTTAAATAAACATATCCGCTTGAGTGACCGAGTGGGCAAGAGTCTCGATTAGCAACTCAATGCAAGCTGCGACAACTTCCCTATCTCTTTCTCTTTGTTCACTTTGTTCCGATCGTCACCATATTGCACGTATAGGGCACATCTTCCGATTGATGATCGATCGTATAGGTAAAAATAAAAATGAGAGGAAAGCACTTGTGGAAAATTTGAATCCTCTTTTTATAAAATTAATCTCTTGAATATATTTTTGCCAGTTCAGTGCATCTATTTAGCTAAACAAATAAAAAAAAAAAGAACGAATGATTTTTAAAAAAATTATTTCTTTAAATCATATTTACATCTGGTATGATTAAAAGCAAGAAAAATTTTTGATTCGTGCCTAATCGTGTTATCAATCGGCATGCCAGTGTAGTTGATAAAGTCTTTGATCCGGAGTTAAAGCAGCAAATATTAATTACTTCAATATTCCGTGTCCGTTTTTACACATTACATAATAGTTTTGGTATAATTTTTGAAATAACTGTTGCTCGCTCTTCATTTTGTGTCGAAATTTCTTTCAATTTAAGTGTTTAAATGAGTTTGAAAAGGCATACGAGGTTTCGCACTTTATTAAATAAATTGCTTAAGCGTCGGCCTGCTTCGAAATGAAATTATTGCAGAAATTCGTAAACGTTTAAAGCAAAATCTTAAATTCATAGAAAGATGAATAACCTGTAACCTGCAACCAGAACAACAAGTATATGACCTATAAAATCGACACCGAATACAATAATAGCAACAATAACATTTTTCATTCATAGCATAAAACAACAAATATAGCGCAACTAAAAAGTGAAATACTAAAGAATTTTGAACAACACAACGAACGTATAAGGCAGGCAGGCATACAGAAAATACTGTTCGAAACAAAATAGTTAAGAAGCGTCTGCTGCAAGAGTTAAGAATAACAAATAACAATAGGTACTTATCCATATAAGAGAAACAATTGCGAAAACTAATTATTAAAATTTGCCAAGTGTGTACCAGTATCAGGGCCAACTATCTTCAATTAAGTTGCGTTGTTCTCATTAAATGAAAAAACGTAACAAAAGCAAGTTTTGTAAAAATCGATTCAAATCGAGATTTGATATAATTTCACAATTACATGCATACATATGTATGTTTTCGTATGTACAATACATGCATACATAATGAGTATCCTTTGGCATTCATGTAAATCTATAAATGCATGCACAGGCACGCATTTATCTTTCGCGTATATTGTTTGATTATGGCCTCGCGGTAATTTAGGGCAAACATGATTTTAGTTCGCATTTGCGGTTGATTATCCATTATTTTGTAAGGACGATTGCGCGTGTAGTTGTTTTAAAATGAGTGCACGGCTGATTAATGAAAATGTAAACAAGGCTTTCATCTAAGTCAGCACAGCATAGTTCGTGGACACTTCATCTATAACTGGATTGCGTATGTGTGCATTCTTATCTCAATTTGTTCGTTCGATGAAAGCATAAAGGGTTTCTTCATTTCATTCATTTCGTTTGTCGCTGCTGTCGAACGTGTGTCCACTTTATTGATGAAGTTTTTGCTGAGTGTTGCGAGTGTCACCGGGGACACTTGTCCGAACCTCACCTCACGCCAAGAAGGTTTTCTTGTTTTCTCATTTTCTCTTTTTGACAATTGCATTTACGCACTGAATTAGATAACACATAACTATCCGTTATGATATAATAATTGAGTTACAGTATCTCGTTCACCTTTGATTCAAGGAACCAATAACTTTCACTACGCTAAGGTTAAAAAAAAAAAAAACAAGTGAAAACACTGTGGTGGGACACGATCCATCAATGGCCTGCGATTATGTATATAATGACTTTTCAAAATACGGCCTTGCTCAGAAAATGACCAAAAATGTTGTCCGATCCATATCACTTTCAACGGCGTTTGTCCTTGGGGCAAAACATGCCGCCGTGTATCAAATTTCATCAAAATATCTCTAAAATCGTGACATGTTGAACAGATGAACAGAAGGACGGACAAGCCTAGATCGATTGCGAATCACTATCGATGTTGTTATCAAGTTCTTCTGGTTATTGAGTGCATCTACACAAACTTAATGTACTCTTCTACCACAAGTGGTTTGGCGTATAGGAAAAGTGAACTTTTTAGATATTTTACAAAAGTTTTTCACTCGTCACAGGAAAATTTCTCCATTTTATTACTAAAAGTCTACATCGAAATTGTATAAATTTCTAAACGAAGGAACGAAAAACGAATACGCCTCAGTTAAAACATGAAAACATTATTGGATAGTTGTTCCATCAATTTTGTAATCACATAGAAAGTTTTTACTGTTTAGGAGGAAATGCTTAAAAATTTTACATTTCCTGAGGCAAAAGTTTAAATAGAAAAAGAAAGGGGATGAGGTGTATATTCATTTTGACTGAAAGCTTTAGAAGCCTTACTAAATATATAATTAGGATGAAAGCACCTCCTTCTCTCCGCATCTCTATAATAATAATATCTGTGATAATAATTCTCCTGCCTGTAAAAACGAAGCTATCGGGTTCAAATTTGGTAGACACACCCAATATTCTCTTACATATAGTTTGGTATTCAAAATCGGAGAAATCAGTCAAGGTAAACGCCCGCAGTATATTTATTTTCAAACACCGGACTTAAAGGTCTGAAATAATAAAAAAGTTACTAACACTTAAACATTGCGCAGAAATTCATTCTCGTTTACATAATCCTCAGCAAAAGGTTAAAGTAAAATTAAATGCTTTCCACTTAGAACAGTCATGTGTCCAGACATCGGGCAAAAGGTTGCAAGACTAAGTAGAATCAATTTTTTTTGGCTAAACTCAACTTTATTGAACATAATCTCCTGAAAGGGAAATTCCGATAACTTTTTATAGAAAGATTTTTCAAGGCCCTCGAAATACGCTTCGATTTTCGAAACGGCCTTTTAATTCTATCAAAACCCTTTTTATCTCCGTTGTGGACCGAATTATTTTGTATTAATAGGAAATGTTGTTATCAATCTTCATTAAAAACCCTTCTCACTTGATTTATTATTTATTGGGTTTGCTAAGTAATTGCCGATTTGTTCAATGAAATAAAAGCTTTTTTTTTACTTGGAATGAAGTTGAATCTATAATGTATTTGCTCGATGACCTTTTGCCATCTCGCTCACAACTTAAAAATTACACACTCTTGGAAAGTCCGATCCTTTCCGGCTAAAAACTGGGTTAAGTGAAATTTTATAGCGTCATAATCATTGAAAATTTTACCACGAAGCGAGTTGTCCAGGGGTCGAAATAAGAGGTAATCCGATGGCGCGACATCAAGGCTATATGGGGGGAGTAACATCAATTCGCAACCAATATCCATCAATTTATGCCAAGTGGCCAAAGACATGTGTGGCCTTAGCATTATCCTGATGAAAAATGACGCCTCTACGATTAACCAATTCTAGTCGCTTTTCCTTGACCGCTGCATTCAGTTTGTCCAGTTGTGGACAGTATACGTCCCAATCCATGGTTTAGTTCCTTTGAAGCAGCTCAAAATACGCCGGTTCTTTCTTATCCCACCAAATTGACAGAAAAAACTTCTTTTGTTGAATATGTGCCTTTGAAGTGGTTTGCGATGACTCATTAGGTGCGCACCACGATCGTTTTCGATTGACATCGTCGTTGTACACGATCCACTCTTCGTCTCCAGTGATAATTCGTTTTAAAAGCGGATCGATTTCATTGCGCTTAAGCAATAATTCACAAGCGCTGGTGCGCTATGTCAGATGAATTCCTTTCAAATCGTTCGGAACCAGCTTCTTAACGGGACCGACTCGTTTTAAATGCTTCTCGATGGCTATATGTGAAACATTTAACTTCTCCGCAATCTCCTGTGTAGGTACGTGACAATTCGCTTCGATGATGGTTTTGATTTCAACCTCATTAAACTCAACTGATCGACCTGAATGTTGGTCATCGTTAGGAAAAAAAACTACAGAAAGGAATTTTTCAAGCCAATTTCGGCATTGCCTTTCTTTAAGTGCTTTATTGCCATATACATCACGTAACTTTTTGGCGGCTTGCACTGCGTTCTTTCCTTTATGGAAATAATAACGCAACTCCGCATATTAATATTGAGGTAAAAAAAAAAAACCTTAAGAAAATATCTCTGCAATGAACTTGTAAAGCTGGGTAAGGATGACAGCTAACATATATAAGAAGAAGAAGAAAATGATTATAACATATACGGATATCATAAAAATGGGAGTGAGACACGACTATAGCTGAAATCGGCAATTACTTAGTTGCCAACCCAATACTGTGGAATAAGTTGATTCAACGATAATTTGAATTAGTTTGGTGATAAAAGTGCGAATTAGGTAAAGACCTGCTTGATTAGGATGTCATTTGGAAGAATGAGGAAAATTTTAACGCATTATTTTAAATCATTTTATGCAAAAGATGTAAAGATTATTTCCCATATTAGATATTCATGGATAAAATATAATTATTTTCAAATCACATTTCTAGCATTAAGTATGAAAGTATGAAATATGCGAGTTTCTATGTTTTGCGAATTCATAAACGTATGAAGGAGACAACCGAACGGTCGGATTTTGTGTGTGTGGTATTTATGAGCTTAGACAGCCTCTGGTCTGGTTATTGCAAACGGTGTGCGTTCATTTACTTAAGCCGAATTCACAAATGATATTGTTCATACCTCCTCATAAGAAGAAGCATAGTGACAGTATGTATTAGAAGCAACTTACCCTGGTATACCACCACTTTCCATATGATTTGCTAGAGTTACATCATTTGACCACACATCAAATTGCCACTTGACGAGACCCAAAACACCACAATGAACACGACCCGTATGTATGCCAACGCGCATATTCACATTTACCGCCATTACCTCACGTACCAAACTGCAAGTACATAAAACATCAACATATACACTCTTGTACGTCTAATGCTATTTAGATAATGTTACTTAAATATTTACTGTACAGTGTGCCACAAAATTTTTATATCATTATTTTCTTTTTGTTTTTTATTTTATTTTTACGCGCAATGAACGCGCAATATGAAATATTTCATGATGATATTTTATATACATACATATATATATATATATATATATATATATAAGGTATACATATATATATATATATATAAAATATTTATAAGGCTTAAGGTACACTATAATTATTTATCATTTCACATTTACTAGCTTTTGAAGATCGACTTGAAATGTGCAAAGCCTGCTTGGCCTAACTAATTGTGACCTTTATACCACCGGGGTCCATTTCACTTCCCTTCAGTTTATCATTGACGGTGATTCTCTTCATGTCTGACAGTTTGCAATGGATTAAAAAAACAAAATATTTTACATAATTTTCCACATGCATAGGCCATACGACATATATTATGCATTGTATGTCTAACAGCTCAGAAACATGATCCGTATACTCATATAAATTTATGAATTTTAATTTACTATTAGATACAAATTAAGTCGACTTATTAATGTTTTGCATGGCTACGGCTAATTGCAAAAATCATTAAAACATTAGGAAAAACGTTGTCAGGAAAGTGAAAATATTTTATTATATAGATTATATGGACCTTTTAATTATTCCTCTTCCAAAACATAAAGAAATACCATAAATATATTTCATATTAGTTCTATGTTTTTTGAAAGCATAAAATTTTGTTGCGTTACGTGGTTTTTAGTTGTTTTTAACTTACGCTATTGCATCGATCATATCTAAACCCATTTCAACGGCACAATGAGCATGATCAGGTCGAGGTTCAGGTAAACCCGAAACGCAGTAATAACAATCTCCTAATAATTTAATGCGTAAACAATGGTGTTCAGATGCCAAACGATCAAATCTAAAATGTGTTGTTTAAAAAAAAAATAAAATGAAATTAATATGTATAAAATAATTATTTATTATATAAATATTATATTAATTAAAAATTTCCAAATGCTTTCTAAAAAATTAACGCCTATTAACTAGCTACGCATTTTTCCCCAACCGTTACATTTTTCTGCCTAAACAAAAGTACTAGCATCACCTTGTACTCTAATTAGTCCTGAATTCTCACTATTACATTTTTTACTTCGCATAGACGATGAGAATTCGATACCATTTCATTAACGATATTCACTTTGAAAGTAAATAAGCGAATGAATTAAATTTTGTAACAAAAGTACTCCGTTTTAAATGTAAAAGTATTCATCAATGATTTTGGAAAGAGGTTTTTTATTATTAAAAACACTCTAGTGGGCTAGTGGTCCATCCTCAAATACCCTACATCACAGTACGGTTATTAATATAACGACTATTTCAAATAAAGAGCTATGTGCGAAGTGATCGAAAAAACGATTTGATTCGAATTATTAATGCGTGGATAGCGTTCGTCCCTCGGTAAAAAGAAGTGGAATGTGAAATTTCAATTTTATGAAAATATATCCAAACTTGCAAATTGTGTGTTGAACAGAAGGAAACGAAATGGATAGACAGACCGACGGACAGGCAGACTTAGATCGATTCATGATCGGTGTAATAAAAGGTAGGCTTGTGTGTGTTGCATAAATTCGTGCGTACTTCTTGTACAGTTATAGCACAAATGCTGTAGGGTATCAAAATCAAGTCACATAAATACATTATTATTATTATTATTATTATTATTATTATTTTTAATTCAGGCAGAGAAATAAATTCTACGATTAAAGTCTCAAAGCACTAGTGTGCATCTAAGGCTAAAGGCTTTAGTCGAAACTCTGCCGCACTTGAGATTCGAACCCACGAACATGGAGCTTCTTTGTCTACGGCCATTCAGGCGGATACACATAAACATAGAAGCATTAAATCTTTCTAATTAATTTTGTAAACTTGACAAATGATAATTACCTGGCGAATAATTCATTCAGCAAGCGTACTAATTCCTCAGCGGTACATTGATCGGAGAGGCTAGTAAAACCGCAAATATCAGCAAACAATATGCTGCAAAGGAAAGTTAAAAGGAAAAATGATACAATTTTTCAAATAAAGAGCTTTAAGTCGAATACTATATTAAAGCGAGCGTCGAACTAAAATAAATTGTGCAAATAATTAATGAAACCATTGTAAGTTTTTCCTGAAAAATTTATATCCGTTTTTTTTTTTTTATAAACGATCGATTAAATAGTCAGGAATGGCAAAGAGAAGACAATTTTGGACACGACATAATTTTAATTAGTCAAAAAAGCTATGCAGGGCAAGAAAGGAAGAAAATTATGTTCGCTTGCAGCTGAATCTGTTATATCCACCACCTTTATCCTCGAAAGAACTAAAGATGTAAGAGAAAAAGTAAATCTTCATTCCTTACAATATGGGTTTGGGCGTGGCCGATTGTATTCGTTCTAGTATAATAAATATTTGTAATTGATAAATAACGAGCACAAACCAGAGAAAGCGGGCGAATTCTAAGTTTATGTAATGCTCTGTAGGCATGCTCCTTGATCGATTTAGTCTATATCCTTTTGCTCGCAGGTATGAAATGCGAGTGTTTGTTTATGCTGAACTTGAAGATCGTAGCATAAGCTTGGCTTATCTCATCGCTTGTTAAGAAATTACTAAATGTCGTACTGCATTCTAAGAGGCACGGTTCGTCAACGCATCTCGAAGCTTCTCAAATTTTCAATCGTTTAGATCCTTTCCTTTGTAACTGTGAGAACTGTAATGCTCATCGCGGAGAGATTCGTAAACAAATGTAAAGTTGACTAACGTTAAATTTGTAAATATTTTTTTCTTTTTTTTTTGTCTTAATTGTAAATTTAAAGTAAAGCAAAAAAAAAAAAAAGAGAATGTTTTTTAGAAATGCAATATGAAATAATGCAAAAAAATTGAAGTTCAATGTGCAAATGAGTCCCAAAGGTTCGATGTGCACGGATTACGATGAAACGCGTTATTCTCGAGACACAATTCTTCAAACGGGCGTTTGTGACTTAACTCGAGCAATTTATATTTTTTTTTTATGCGAACTCTTTCCAGAATTTTTTCACACGGAAATACGCAGCATATTGTCGATATGTGAGTTCACTTTATTTTTATTAAAACAAAATACCCTTTGCTCTGTCAAAAGTTGAACATTTTCATTGAGACACGAATCACAAAGAAAAAATCAATATTTCAGTATTTCTCGAGACATAGAAACGTATATTAAATGATTTTTCATTCCTGCTTTTTTGCTTTTGGTTTTAGTTACCCTACTTACGGTAGAGCCTTTAAATTACAAATAACTCACGAAAACCATTTTTTAATATTTTTGGGTTTTGTAATACCTGCTATTGTATTACTCCTAGTAACCTTGGAATATGTTATTATTGCATTGCCTTTCCTTCCATCCATGGAAATGATCAAAAAGCCCTCTTTTTTTAAGTTGATGGTTACGTGATCTCACACCTTAACCCACAATTAAATTTATCAAGTTTTTTTCGACCTGCCTTAGAAAGGTATGCATTCAAGTGCAAATCTAGATCAACTCTTTATCAAATTTATTAGGAAACTCATCATTGAATTCGGATTGTACGCTATTAAGTACGTAATATTTTCACTGCCGCTTTACGAAACTTTCACTTATTTCAAGTTCATCACTGAATAATACTGTGTTTATCATTGCGTTTCCGCGATCTGCATGAAATATTTATATTAATAGTTCTGCGCAAGGTTATACTGGCACCGTATCATCACAATACTCTACTCTACCTAGTTTCATACATAGTAATAGTAAGCACTTTGTCAAGAGAAAAAATTATTAATATTCGAAATTTGATTGAAAACCAGTAAGTGAATTTCATGCGGGGACAATGTACTCGAACTTCTAACTTGCAACTAAAAATTTAAACCTTTCATTCTGTTCGGACGTGTTTGTCTCTCCAATCTCATGACTAGAACGAGACTTCAGCGACCTCAAAAAGTATATTCATTCTTGATCAGCACTTAATTCTGAATTGATTTAAGAATGTCCATCTGTCCGTTTATCGTAACCATTCTCTTGGCCGCAAAGCTGAAGCCATCGACATCAAATTTGCAAAAACATTGCAACTTTTTCCATGCAGATTGGTATTCGAAAATGGGGCAGATCGCTCGAATGACACGTCCACGGCACCGTGTAAATTGAGAACACCTCTCCTTAGTTTTTTCCTCATAACTTATAAACTGCAATCGATAAATCGATAAGAATTCAAACTTATATTTTGGGGTCAATGCTATAGAATTTGTACAAAAATCGAAAAAATCGGCCACGTCTACTTAATTTTATAATGTGCTCTAATTGCATTTTTTTCAAAATTTTTATAACTCACCGAAGCACACGTCAAAATCTCGTAAGATATATATGGGAATTCTTGGCCAATTTCAAATTCGCAATGGATTTAAGCATGTCCGTCCGTTGATCTGTCCATCTGATGGTCCGCGCAAACGGTATAGTAGTATCTACGGTGAATATTCCCCCGCTCGCAAAAATGAAGGTAACGCCTAAAAGCTTGCAAAAAAATTTGAAAATTACCAAAAATGCTCAAAGGACACGCCTATTACGCCTACATGTCTATGGAACAAAAACTATGAAACACTTTTGTTCTCCCCATTTTCATAAAGTGTCACACATATACCATGTAAGCTTCCACCTAAACTCTGAAAATAGAGAAAATCGGCGGGGCCCACCCGATAAAATGTAGTTCTTTTCCTTTCTTTCAATCTCCTTTAGGGTAACGATGAAGGTTTGGTCGCTAGTTTTTAATAAAAATAAGAATCAAAACACGGTAACTAATTCGAAGATCTAATAAGCTTTCTCTTCTTTAATTATTCAACAATTTTCCATCCAAGGGCCTTAGGCCAAGCCTATTTTATATACATATAAAAAAAATATATGTTTAAATTTTTTTTTTGGTGTTACTTAAGAGCTGTGCAGTTTTCACAATGGAAACATGTGTTGAACAATTGTGTGCCCTAAGTTTTGTATTAAAAAAAAAAAAAAAGTTGTCGTGAGCTTACGCGCTGCAAAAGTGATAATCATCCTGGAGCGTGTCACGTATGCCTGAGATAGAAATCATTTAAAAACGGTATAAAACATTAAAAGAATTCCATTAATTAGTTTGCATTGGTCTTGTCGAGTTTCCATAGCAAAAAACAGCAAAAGTCTTCGCATAAGCAAAGGGCTGGTGTTCGAAAATCGTTGTATAAATCGTCGAACATTAGATAAATGCTTGAACATAATTTGTAAGTACTGTCATGATATGACGATCGAAATTTGTCAATCGCATAACTAGCATCTAATTAACATAATCTCGATCATTTTCTGCAAGAACTATTGACTGAAAGCTCAAGTAATTGAAGGCTATATACTTCACCGAACTTACGAAAAATATAGATAAAGGGAAGGCCAAGCCGAACTAATACTTTAATGAATAGAATTATTTTCTTTAATTGTTCGGGAATATTTTACACAGAATATACATGAAATTTTTATAAACGAATCTTGTTATTAAATTTACTCGACTGCTTAAAACACCACAAAGTGTAAAGAAATCATGGAAGTGCTTGATAGTCACAAAATGTTAATTAGCAGAACTTTTCATCTCGCCACTTCATCCAGCCGCAAATTGTCTCGCATAATGGCGAGAATGTCATGCGAAAGGGAAAGCGACATTTAGCAGATATCAAGATTACAACCGTAACGGCACATTGAATACACCTTTACCGTGATAAGTGGAATGTGTTTCAATCTCATAATAAATTAATGATTGTAATTTTATACGAGAAGAGAAAAAAAAAAAAGGGTTTCCTACTCAAACACTTTTACATTCACATGAATAAATTCCTCGCATTTCAATATATATAACTCAATTCTTCGCATTTTGTATCTGTGTATGTGTGTGCGTGTATGTATATGTGTGTATGTGTGTGTATGTGTGTGTTTAGGAGGGGAGGTAAGCGTATGTACTTGTTGCTATTCAAGGCTGTTAACAATTTCAAATTTCCTTCTCATTCTTCACACTTACCTGACATTGTCATGTCGTTGTATATAAATTTTGTGAAATTGTGTGTCACGCGGTTGTCCGGCTATATCGTCTTTCATTTCCATCGCAACATGTCGCGGCAACACTGACAATAAGAGACGTTCCTGCACAACAATAAAAATAAATAACAGTTACTAAAGGGGCGGGTGGGGGGAAGAACTGTTATAGAAAGCTTTATGCTAAAAATTTTCAAGAAAAATTTTTCAGATTAAATTTCAATACAATACAAGATATACGCACATATACACAATTATACAAACAAGTCAAATATAAATCACTTTCTTGCCGCAAATAGCAATAGTGCAAGACATGTTAAATACTTTTATGTCCACAATATGTAAAAGTGAGCAAATCGAAAGGCTAGGGTAAGCTAGGCTTAGAGCGAATCTTCAATATCCGATACCATAACGAGTGCGCGACAATATTTATCATTAATCATTTCGACAATATCGTATTTTAAATTAATTTCGGCTAATATTTTTAGCCCATTGGTTAAAATTGTTTGAAGTTTTTTTTTTTTTTTTTTTTTTTTTTTAAACGACCGATTACGACCAATTCTCAAAATGACTGGAAGAAATCGTTCAAAGTAGAGGATATCTACACCAAGAAGTTTCTAACTTCAAGCTCAGTTTAGCTATTTACAAACTTTGCTAGTCGACAATCTCCGTAGTAGGGTAAAAAATAGAAAGGCAGAGTAGACGGCCAGATGATAAAGCCGGATGAAAGAGTTAACAAACAGGCCGAGGAAAGCGTGGACAAAGTAAGACAATTAATTTCCGATTTAATTTAATCGAAAATATTTACAGTAAACGATTCTGAAACGATATTCTGAGACATATATGGGGAGACCTGTTAAGATGAGCCGGTAATTTACTAAGTGGGATAAGTGCATTGTTTGTTATTTAAAGATTTGCATTTCAATAAATTTTAAAATATTGCCAAGCACTAATAGACATAGTTTTTGTATATTTTGAGTATTACGTAACATAAATTAATTATCCGATAGTGTTGATAGTGATGGGTGGAAAAATTCAGGTTTTTCTTTATATCTAAATGGACTTGGTTCACTTTCAAAATAAAATGAATTATTGTAATCGTTAACCGAAGGGATACTATTCAGCCAGAACAACTTGGGATAGGCTCATCTTTTATTATATGGATTCTGAATCGATCTAAGATGTCCGTCTGTCATTTTGTTGTCTTGTTTTCAATTTTAATGTTGCAAATTTTGTGATATTTTGATGACATTCGATAGCCAAACAGGTTTTCACCCAGGACGGATGGTAATGAAAATTGTTCGACCGCTTCCCATATAACGTCTTATTTAGAAAAATCATTATATGAAAAACGGTAAAGTGGTGTAGGATAATAATCAAACCTGTTTACCTGTTTACTATTGTGAACGTTCGGTAAGAATGAATCTTCACACCATAGGAAATTTATGACGAATGATAGCTATTTTATCGCCAATGGACTGAGTAATTTGCATTCGCATTGAGGTCAACTCTATGTTTCTATTTTCGCCAGTGCCCGTATCAATATAAATTATAACGTGCTCTGGATGCTATAGATTCATCCCATTTTCCCTTGATCGATAAAGAAATTGGCAAAGCTTTCATTCAATATTGTATATACATGCATAAGTGAGTGCAAGATATTAAGTTAAAGTTGAATTTTAGTTTTGTTTTTTTTGTACCTTTCGAAAGGTGAATGCTAGAAGACGCACTAAGATAAATGAATTCTTACAAATGCACAATAAAACAAGTAAGACGCGATAGTTTGACACGGCCCATCAATAAATACTCTACACTACTTTGCTTAATGCAGTTATTCATTCAAAATAAGATGTAATATCAGAAGTGCGATCCGAATCATTTCTAAAGGCTTTCAATGCCTGTCGGAGTATTAAAATTGATCTTCATAAAATATCTCAAAAATTTCCGGTTGGAGGTTGAACACAAAAAAATAAATGCGGACAGACGGATAGACATAATGAGAGCTGAATAGATTGACATAATAAGAGCTGGATTTATCTTATTTCCTTCTGGATGTCGCATGCATCCGGGCAAATTTAATATATCCTTATATCAAAAGTGACGTAGGGTATAATAGAAACGTTATATATAAAATATTTGATTGTGTTTTAAAGTAAATGATTTTCGCTGCTAGATGTTGTAAGTGAAAGGTGGACTAAATTTTGACTTCATACGTCTCTGTTCTGTATACGTTTCTTTACACATCCTTGTATAAGCGATTTTATATATTTTTTCAATTCAAATGTGTTTGTATCTCAAGCTTTCTCATTTCATACAGCAATAAATAAATAATAATACTGAGCCACTAGCTTCTTTCCCACTAGTTTCTTTGCTTGATATTGCGGTAATAATGTCGTGATTTCCATAGATGGGCGATTTGGACGATTTAGAATCTCATGCCGAGTTAAAGTTATTTGTACAGCCTTCCTGAACCTAAAAGTGTGAAAACCTTATTACACGTATGAGTACACGTATCAATTTCCCGACTGCGAGTGCCTTGGCAACAATTGAGGACAACGATTGAAATTTCATTTCTCTCGGACGTACGGTATATGGTTATCACAAAATTCGGGTTCGTTTCTTCTTATTCTTATTTCGAAAATTTTTCTTGCATATTTTCAAATGGAAAAGGTAAAAGAAAAAAAAAGAAGAGAAAAGTTGTGCTAGTATGTATTGGCAAATCTATACATATAGAAAAGAATACTTTATATGCATTAGAATAACATAATTAAATAGGAGGAACTGCATGCTTATGAAGAGTGTATGTTGGTAAAGTGCAAACGATAACCGGCACCAATAAGCGATTAAGTTATCTATTTGCAGCGACGAAGTAGTTTTGTTAGCGACTTCTTTAGCGATAGCTCTTCTAATTGACGCATCTTTTGCAAGACATTCTGAAGTATGTGATATGTGAAAGCCTTGACAAAAAATTAATCGACAAGATAACGGTTAAAATGGTAATCTGCACAATACATTAAAAACTTTCTTTAAAAAGTCTTCTTCGAACTTAGCATGACAATAAGTTAATATAGCCTCTTATATATAAGAGGATATGGTCAAGCTTTTGTTTTTCAGATCCTATGGATACATTAGTGGGTTGTTTATGTACAGTATCGCAATTAGACCTATGAACGCATGGTCTTGGCTTCGTATCGCCAGTTTTAGGAGTTTAGAAATTTGCGTATATGACAAAGAGGCGGCGAAAGGTAGAGATTAAGAACTCTGATGCGTGGGGATGGATTTTTAAACACCGATCTCTTTAAAGATCAAATGCTTTCACTTTATTCATAGCAATACAATCGCGCTTTAGATGTACGTCCATGCAATCTATTGAAAGTTAAATATTTCGCAGTCACTTAATGTGTCTTCAGGTTTTGCTATATATAATATATAAAGTGAATGTATGTACATTTCATTATTTGCTCCTTTTAAGTACAATGAAAGTCGATTGTTTTTAAGCAGCCGCTTGGCAAATGTTCGCACTTTGTAAAGCCATTTAAGGAACTACACTTGAAATGAAGCATAAACCGCACATACCTACACTGTTGCATATATAAATATTTACCGATGCGTGCATGCACACCTACATATACATAAAGTATATCATAAAATGCTTTCATTATCTTCTGTTTTTCTTTACGACATTGTACAATACAAATGCACGCGTGTACGAGTGTTAATAAACGACGCCTTGGATATGAACGCGTTATATGAAGCGACTTTAGATGTAAAACGGAAGCGAAACGAATACACAATAGTGGTATAATATTCAATGACTGACAATAATACCAAAACGATAACAAGGAGCAGAACAATAGCAACTTTTATTTATGCTTATAGCTATTTATTTATTCATTCGTTCATTCATTCATTCATTCGTTCATTCGTTTATTTATTCGCTCTTTTTCTTCTTTGCTGCCTTCGCATTGCTGCGGCAAAAGGCATTAAATAAAGTAAACAGCATACTACTTTCATTGAAATTTTACGATTCCCTATTACTACGCTTTCAACCACTAGGTATCGATCGTCCCTCTCCTTCTATCAGTTGATACATTTTCTCTATAGGAGGATATAAATGAATGTGATTACATCTTTGATATTTTTGATATATGCTTGTGGTGTGGTTTTCAATATCAGTTATCAGTTAACTGGCATCTCTTCTATGACATCAGCTTTAACTGTTCCAAAGTTAACAGATGGACAGCTAAACATGAACAAGACTACAAATTTTAGGCAATTCGCTGATGGATGTTAGCGATGCAAATATGCTGCAACGTTTCGTGCCGAAATCGACGCTATTGTTTACAATGACTTGTGTAAACACAATCACACAGAAAAATGTCGGAATTTTTTTAGATATGAACTTTTTCGTAAACACATGTACAAACGAATATATAAGGGATAAAATAAATACCTGCTGTTGATTTTCGCGTTGTGTACGTAAACGAGCCTCAATGCACTGTCGAGTTTCAATGAAGGCTTTACGCTGCGCTTTTTCCTTTGGCCAGTGTGTATAAATTCCAGTTAGGTTTGATAAAAACAGAGCCATTAGCGTACAAAATAACTGCAGAATATCGACAAGAAAGAAAGTTAAACGATTCATGAGTAACTAGAACGATTAAATAATTATGTAAATGAATTAATTTAATTTCTAATACAAATTTCATTCCACATCCAGACCATTTTCAAACTAAATAAATCTCTTCTTTTTTTTTTTTTTGCTTTCCACGAATGTGTTTGTTTTTCATAAAAACGTGAGATACACGTGAGATGATATATTGAAGACCTAGTATTTTTTATTTTTTTTGTTGCAAAAAGCTTATGGCGGACTACGATCAGCAAACTTTGTTTTGGATAACTGAATCACGTCGATTAGTTTATAACAAATCGAACTACTTTTCTTCTTTTTTTTTACACTGTTTCAATTTGACTTGGCAGTAAGCGCGGTGATCGCTCCTATCTGCTACAATCTGGTTTTATTGGCGAAGAAAAAGTTCCAAGCTCTCAATATTTTAGCGAAAATAATCATCATCATATGACCCGTAAACTGTACGATAACCCTCTTAACAATATATGCTACTAAGTTACAAATAGCCGTCACCGTTGGGAATAGTTTCGGATTGAAAGTCTCCAGTCTTGTCGATATAGCTGCGAGTCCACGATCTTTCAGCTTTTTAGATTTAAGACATTTGACAAAATTAAGCTAAAAGCTGATCGCAGCTCACTGCACTGCACCGTACGGTCCTATACGTTCCTCATCATGTGCACTTTCGTGTTTTATTGCTTGTTAGCCCGCGTAAAGCTAAACTTTCGTATTACAATTCGCAGGCATTTATGAAGCGTAACATCAACAAACTATGCACCACGTCGTGATATCAGTTCAAAAGAACTGAGTCCAAGTGGCGCATTCTTGCTAAAAAAAAAAAAAAAGAAAAAAAAAACACTGTATATATCTATTGTTCTAACTATCCGTTCATGAATCAAGATTAACTTTAAAGTCTAAATATAAAGGATTTTCTCAGAAAACTCATAACTGATTACTTAAAAGGAAAGCATCTAGCTTTCAATCCTATTCCTTTTTTTTTTTTTCAACCGCGCTTCGCTGTAGGAAGCTTTTCACTACCTTCAAGTATAAATCATATTCAGGAAAAGAAAAAAAAAAAAAAAAAACAAATGTTTATGTATTTATTTACACAGCTACAGGTATATAAGTGCACATCGAGTATATTTCATCAGCTGCTTTCACTTTTCCTAACCGCAACATTTCCATTTGACTTTTAGTCATTCGCCATTAAATTTTGCTTGCACATCAATCTTTAATTTTACATTGACACTGTATACCTTAAAAATCGACAGTAGCAGAAGCTGCCAGTGTTACTGTTCTTGTTGTGTCTCTAGATGTCAATCACTCATTCTCTGCTCTATTTTCATACGTTTTCGCATAGCTCAACACCCCGTATAAGTAGAGTATATGGGAGGGTTTGTGAAAGAGGAGAGAAGTTAAATATCAATGCGTATTACAGTGTATTCATCCCCGCTTCTCTCTTTCACTCTCTAGTTTCGTTACATTTTTCCGCTATCTTATTCCTGTAGTGCAGGGTACTTACCTCTTGCCAGTAAAATATACCATCAGCGTAACGTAAGCTTGTATAGATGTGTATGCTCGATAATATAAAACCACCGACCAACGATTCTCGCAAACGTAACGGTAACATTGTATATGTCATGTAGATAAAAATGGCACAACAAACACTGCCATTAAAAGATTTACTGTCAGGGCGTACGTACATACATACAAGTCAGTATACGTTTAAAATGTTTGTTGTTTTGTTTATTTGTATATATATATATAACGGGTGTGTATTCCAAAGGAGCAACATGATAATGGAAAGAGAAACACAAATATAGCATAAGAAGAATTAGGTAAATAGATACACTTTCATATACAAATATAATAATAAATAATTAATAGATTTGCAATTGTATTATATACATATATACACATACATATGAATGAATAAGCGTACGAATATCTGCTTAATAACACTAACGATAATTCGAACAACTAGTTGTGAAATGAATGTTAAAAATATTCAAAAATTTCTCACGACTGCTTGAGAAAATTAAAAAACAAGAAATTACGCATTGACTTTCATATTCGCAACTTGAAGACGATGTTCCTTGATTCTTTTTAGAAGCATTTCGTTAACTGTAATTCACGATCATTTTCATGCGAAAATTTTGAAGAAATAGTTAACGATAAACATCGATGTCATATACAGATGTTAAGTTCAATTAATCAAGCATTATATTATCGAGTAACTAATACTTTTACAGATATAAACTCATACATATATATTTGTTCCTTTCATTCAATCGATTCTATTGGTTTAGTTTCACAATTAATGTATTTATGAAATTTATGAAAAGATTACGTTCAACTTTCAAATATCCAATAGGCGGATGGACGCATATCCCAACATAGAACTACTGAAAGTCCCAACTAAATCAAGAAAACATTTATTGCATAAAATCTCTGATTCTGTCGGTTCAAGTACAGTGCAGTGGAAATGTATTGAAAATTTCGTCTTTAAACTCGCACTGCACCGGTTGTATATTACACACGTTACATTACACGCATCCTCAAATATAATGAGTAGATATAAACAATGAGCGTTTGCGTCCTAATAGATCAACGAAAGAATTTATGGCTTTTCTCCCAATAGCTGACTTAAAAGTCCTCTAACTTTGACTATATATATATATATTAGATCCGTTAAGTAACATTGTATTGTGTGGGCCTGGGGTGACCTGGGGCGCTGCGAGATAATTAATCCAATTGAAACTAATTGAGTTTTGGAAATGAATTGAAATTCTGAAAAAAGTAATTTTAAATAATAATAATAAAGATAATAGCGCATCGCAGGCTTATGGAAAAACTCTTGAGGGAATTAGCTTCTGAATTTAGGAAAACGCAGAGGATGTTTTGCTCGTTTTCAACCGTAAAATTTCAATGTTAGCGACGTGCAGCGGTTTGACCAGTCAATCTTTAAAAAAATTGATAGAACGCTTCAAACCTAAAAAAGACGAGCACATTTCATTCACCATCGCTGTGGAACTAAACATTAAGCGAACAAACAATTTTGAAGCATTTTCATAAGGCATTTGTATACAAGAAGGTGTCCGTTATTTGACACAGTATCACAGGACTTAACTGTAAGAACTGTGATGACTCACAAATTTCCATCCGCGAATCCCTCTAAAATTCAAGCGAAATGAACAAGGGATGATGATAGGTGAACGACATTCGACAATAATGTAAAAAAAAACCGAGGTCCAATTCGGAACATTAGCAAAGACCAGACTTCCACCATGTGAGACAATGTTTTATGCTTGGAAGGATTTAAACTCAATCGCGCAAATAAATGTGAATTTGCTCCAGCCCGCCCAAATGATTGACTTTATTCTCTACCGTCAACAAGTGATGCGGTTAAGTCGCGCATCTCAGGTAGAACGTCTAGAGTTGACTAATAGGCAAGATGCAATCTTTAATCGTTATAAATATAAAATTAAAAGTATCTAGCAACTATCTGTCCGTCCGACAATGTCGTACCGAACTCTCTTAATAGGGTAGCAGCTCTTAGTTCAAGTTTCTGATAACTATCCTAGAAATTTGGTATGATTGATGTTGTAGATCCATCAGAAATATTTCAAAAGATTATCGACCAAAATGTCGGAGACATATATGTCTACACTTAGTTTGTTAAAATTAATTTAACATATAAACGCAAAATTGTAGAGTTTCGGTAAAAATCCTTTTTTTGTATTTTCAAAAAAAAAAAAAAAATTCAAATACGATAAGTAATCACAGATCAATGCTTCCTTGATTGTTTAGAAGGCACGCATTTACAAAAACAAAAAAGAAATTTCTATTTTACTGCAGTATGTGTAAATAAAATTTCTTACCTTGGCAGTGTAGCGTACCCCACCACAATTTCAATGGCGACAAATGTTCCAACAATGACATACGATACCAAAACTAAAAATATTTCGTTCACCGCTGGCTTAGAGAGGATGCATAGCAGGACTGAAACCAAAAAAAAAAAAAAAAAAAAAACAAATTTCTGAATCGATTGGATTATATGCAAAAATGGAATAAATCCAATTATTTTATTGTAAATATATGCTGTATGTTTAATGATCAGATATATATCACATGTGTTTGAAATTTTGCCTATTTTGACTTACACGAATAAATGGATATGCAGACGGCCATCACTATGAAGAAAACTAACAATTTCTCATCAATGTTCGCAATTATGGCCCAAAAGTAATCGATTTGTTTTCTATCCTCAGCATTTTTATCATTATTATCATCATTGTTGTGATTATCATTATTATCGTTATCATTATTATCGCTTGTGTTTGGAACGTAAATGAATGTAGCCTCAGCTGAAGAATGTACAGGACTTGAAAAAATGTTATCAGGATTTGTTGATGTGGTGATTGAAGGATTGTTGTTTGACGAGCTGACGATAAGTTTGTTAAGTGCAATCTTATCACTCAAACTGCTACTTATCCTGCCACTACTGCCTGTCAAAGCCATTGAAATGATGGGAAACTCTTCGTTACGGTTGTTGTGCTCTTGTTGTTGTTGTTGTTGTTGTTGTTGTTGTTGTTGTTTTTTTTGTAGATCTTCTCCATGCTGTTGTTGCTGATTAACATGTTTTGAGAGTAAATTATTGCGTTGATTAACTACTTTGTTATGCATCATCCTATCTGACGACAACGTATAAAAGTTTGTTGTTGGTTGCAAAAATTCCTGGAATGTGTTCATTGAATGCTTTTTAACTTTCATGGGAATGTAACGCTTGTAGCGTCTCTTTGATGATTGCTGATGCATTTCAGTTAACCAACGTTTGAATTTCATTTCTTGTTGGCGCGATATGAATGGTATTGGGATACTCTTCATAATTTTTTTATGAATTTTTCTCTCAGCCAATGATTGCCTGTTATCTTTATCTTTATCTATCCTGGCGGGAAGTTCTTCTTCTGTTACCGCTAATCTATTGTTATGGTTACCAGTTGCAGTCTGCTGCTGCACTTCCCGTTGCCTATATGCTCCTTCAAGCTCTATATTTGATTGGCTGTTCAAACTGGAAGGAGTAGTAGGAGCAATAGTATGATAACTCTCTTTAAACAACCTACTGTGATACATCATTGACGTTGTGTATGGCTTAGTTATTTGTATGCTATAAAAAATGCATAGTAGAGAAGAAAATAATAAACCGTTAGATAAAAAAATATTATATAAAATAAAATAAAATAAAATTAAATAAAATAAAATAAAAACAGGATCAATCTAGAATTCATTTCATTTTAATTTACATCAGCACTTCACAAACATGTAAAAACAATCTACAACCGCGCCTTGTCTTATATACACATTTACTACATACATATATGAGGGAATCAGTTAAATGGCTTTTCATTAGGAATAATGTACATTTTAGATGGCCGTTTATCTGACTTGTCGCCTATCAGACAGATCCAACTAATCCAATTGCTTTCAAATATATATATATATATATATTGTATATATATTGAAAAGTTTGAAAAAAAAAAAAAAAATGTCACTCAGTGACGTAGTCAAGATGAATTAACCTGTCAAATTGTCAATATGTATGGCTATAATTGTATTTCACATAATGGAATGATAAAGTGAATGCATACGTCTCGTATGTGACGCATTCTTAGAAATCTCACTGCGACAGCGATTTAAGAGTAATTACTGTTGAACGCCTGCCGTTTTTACTTGCCTTTGTCAAGTACCCAGACATACATACATACACCATAACATAACAATCAATTAGGTCTTTTATAGTTATTTTGGTTAATCTTCCACTTAAGGGAATATTTTGTAAATTAAAGGCTACATATATATTTAGCGAGATTGAACAGAAGCCGTCATTAAAATCTGTTTAAAAAATAAATTCAATTAATCGAAGATGTAAACGAGCAAACGGAGTGAATATAAATCGACTAAACAAAACAAATTGTATGCATTACTTACAACCGTGACAGTACAAAATGACAGCAAATAAATACGAAATTTTATTTGCGCCACATAAAAAGGGGATAATGATAAATTTATTACTAAAAATATTGCTTAAGACAGCTGTCCAGGGAATTGAAAACCTCAAAAGCTGAAGACAAAAGGAATTCACAATTATTATATTATATAACGTCACTTTTTAGCTTTTTCTCCGTATATTCCTCAATTCTTAGCGTTTGTATGAAGAAAAACCGTAGAACAAATTATCTACAGAAAGAGAGAGAGAGAGAGAGAGGAGGAATCACAGGTTATTATAGGACTTTTTTCAAGCGCTTATGCATAAATTAAAATGTGCCAACTTACTTCACCGAAGGTTTTATATTATTCTCAGATTATAGATTCCAAGCATATTTCAAATTTTCGAAATTTTTTCTTTAATGCAACTCTCAAGTCGAGATTAAGACTGACATAAATGAGCTCAAAATGTTAAAAGTCAAAAAGTTAACTCACTAATAAGATATGTATGATCGCCGCTGTATGAAAAAATTATACATATTTTAGATGCTTGAAAGTATTTTGATCATTTTTTATAACTGCCCATCTTTCTGACAAGATGGCGGTGCCGCATCGACCCATTTTCGTACTTCTTCGGCATTTCGAAATCGCGTGCCAGTCAAGCCCTCTAATCTATCGATCTGAGTAAGTGATAAGTGAAACAGAAGTCGCCTTGTCTGCTGAGCACACTGGGTGCGACGGAACTTGTCATTCAAACTGCAACAGCGTATCTCTTTGACAACTGTTGCAATTTGTGGCCGAGCGTTGTCATGCAGGAGGATAGCTTGGTGCCTGTTAACCGCAGTTGCTGGTTTTTCTTTTTCAACAAGAAATCGTTCAATTGGATCAATTGAATTGTATCATGGCGAGGGATTTCTAAAACTGGCTTTAAATTCGATCGTATATCCGTTTCAGATAAAGCAGCCATTTAATCACCATAGTGTGCAAATAAGGCAATCGTTAATAAGCTAAAAAAGAACACTTTCGCATATCGTAGACATCTCAGATGAATTACTATATAAGATGGTAGCCAAGATAGCTATGGTAGGTGCGAGAGAGATATTAATCAGATGGGGCGCTATAATGACATTTGTACAGCACCTTAGCCATTTAACAAGAAATAAATCGGATTTTGCTTATCGATTGGCGACAGTGAACGAAACTTGCATTTATCATTTCAACAATAAATTTGGAAATGAAACGTGAGCGATTTTATCGGTGCCTAGTAGTGCCTAAGGTAGTGCTAGTCGACTAAAATACTTCTGGTCTCGAGTCTTTCTGAGATGTGACTGACATTTCTTTAAATGATTGCTTGCAAAGCAGTAAAACAATAAGAAAAGAGTATCACTCTAATCTTTCCAGTGTGATCAGTCTGATGATACAAAATTGGCCAAGAAGAAGGACATTTTGGAGAAGACAAACAACAGTCATGCATTAGGAAAAGCTTAGCTGGGGAGTCGGTTCATAAAGATCGTTTGGCCTTGTTTCATTATTTCAGTCATTGCCTGACCTAGTAATTAATTTTTCTTTTTTGGAATCGTCTTTGGCAAGGATTCGGTTTAAATCGGCCTTTACATCTGGAATTTTTTCCATCAGTTTAGCTCTCTTTTCTGTTTAACTTTACAAAAACACGTCAATTTCTATATTTATCCTATATTTTTTTTTTTTTTTTTTGTTTTCTTTTTCATTAAAATAATTCTTTCGTTTTACTTTTCAAATTTTCGCCCTAAAGCTGACATTAACATAAAAATGACAGCGAAAAAAAAAATTTGAATTTTATGTAGAAATGTTGCAGGAGAAGTAAATTACCTTAAACGTTTACAGCGATGTTTGCGAGAAGGTCCATGTAATTGTTTATTACGTTTTCGACGTTCCCATGAATCGCCACGCGAAAGCAATGGCGAATATAATTCGCGGTATTGTTGATATTGTTGTCGTTGGGCAGAATGTAAAAAACTATTCGCACCGCTCGGTAACTCATGTATTAAATTAACATTTCTTAAACGTTGTGACTGTGAAGTTTTCATAGTTGAACTTAAGTTATCTGCAACTTGACGCTGCTGATAATTCTCATGGAGATTTTCGTTTTTTTGGTGGTTTGTGTAATTTATGGCTGCTTGCTGAGGTATGTCGGGTGTCGGTGGTAATGGCAACTGATATAATGCTGCCTCCGCCGAAACAACGGAAGTATGCAAATTATCAGTCGGCTGACTTTGAAATTCAGTTACGTTTGTTGTCAAATAACGTTTCATTTGCACGGTGCAAAATAGAATATGAGCGCTAGTGAGCGCCACAATTAAAGCCAGTAATAATAATAATACGTGTGTGGTGGTACTTTGATTCATGCGCAAAAAATAGCGTTGATAGAGCATTTCCACCTGAAAAATTAATGAATACCGTACGAAACGAAACAACAAATAACAATGAAAATAGAGTATATACCTATGTCTGTATATGTACATGCATTACAGTATTATACAGTATGTGCATATAATATGCACATATTACTAATGGATTTGAAAATCGGATTTTCACTAACAATGAATTTAAAAGTTGTTTTCGAATTTACATTTTCTAAGGTAGTTTTCTTCTTTTTTTTTTCTACTCAAAACAAATGCTTGCCTTTCCGTTCTTTTCGTTTTAATTTAACTAGTATTCGTGTCTGTTAGCAGTATTTTGCAAGTTTTTGGCCGAAAAATGTTTTGGCGCTTTCACTTCCGCCTGTCATACACACACACACACACACATACACACACACACACACACGCACACACAGAAACAAACACAGACTTACATAAACTTACTTACATGAAAAAGAAAAATAGTTGAATGAACACTAAACTCTATTATTAAGGTCATACAACAAAATAGTTTGTTCTTTATTGAGTTGAGTTGTACAAGAACTCTGAAAAGTTTCAAATCATCGTATTTTCGAGAATAATTTGAAAGTTTCTTCTTTTTTTTGTTTCGTAAGTGCAACACCACCACCTATCCCCATAAACCAATTTAGATTTAATTAATCGGAATTACAATGAAAACTTTCGCATACACAATTTTTCAAATCTTTAAATGAAACATAAATTTTTCTGTTTATTTTGTCATCTTGAAAATGCAGATAAGTAGTAGATATAGAAAAATTTCTTTAAAAATTAATTATTAGAAATGCTTATCTTCTCCATGATGTCTTTATATCTTTCCTTATGTTTACCTGTAAATTTTTAAACTGATGCGCGCTACACAAGCGTAATACGACGCGATTTAAGCGAAACCAAAATGAAATGCTTGGACTTATAACAGTAGTCGTATTCGTATTTGCTTCCGTATTACGAGCTGTATCCGAGGCATCCGAATCTATCATAAGATAAAATAATGTAACAATTTATTAAAGAAATTTGATATGAAAATTTCAAATGAAAACATTATAGTTGGGCATCGCCCATCATTAAATGCCCTACACCACTCTACAAATATTGAGATACTGATGAAAAAAATGACGCAATACGAACATCATTTTCAATAGGATTCGTTGGGGCACGTGTAAGGGCACGTCAAAGTGTCTCGAAAATTATTTATATGGGCCTATAGGCTGTAGACCACAGGAATACCAAACGGACCGAGAAGCTTAAATCGATTCAGAATTAGTATCTCTTAGGTCCTTGTATATGTTCCATCCTTCGGTAGTGGTGTAGGACATAGGCGTAAATAAAATAATTTTTATTCATACTTCTATTATATTATTATAAAGGAAATCGAAATGTAACCCGAATCGAATAAAACTCATAATCGAATTAATTGAAGTAATTGACAATTGAGAAAGCGCAAAAGAATGCTTTCAATTGTCAAAGAATGAATGAATTCTGTTACTATTTAATTGCCATTCCATTGCATTAGGTAATGGCATGTCTCTGGTTTTCCTCTTTACTTTCGCAAGTTAATTACAACTAATACTTACTTTGTTGCAGTAGATGAGCTTCGTCACGTTGATAGACCATTGGACTTTGGCACGTTGAACTAGAATTTGTAGAGTCCAAGGATTCATCGATATTGCATCGTGTTATGCCGGCCTATAAAATGAAATTTTGTTTTTCAAAAAACATCCGGCATAAAATAAATTTTATGAAAATTTAAAAAGAACCAAACCAATTCGAACCAAACCCTTTCAAGTGCTTTTCAGTTTCTATTTTTATTTCTGGTACTTGCCACAAATCGTCAATTGCAGCACCTGAGTACTTAAATATACATGCACTTGTGTACTTTAATAATTTACTACATTTTTTTCTTTTTTTTTTTTTATCTATTTGAGGCGAACACCATATTTATTACTAGTAGTTGTGTTGTCCATCCAATAGCCATCTGGCCATTTTATCGGTTTTCCTTCCTCTCCTTTTCAGCAAACATTTTTATAATATTTTGAATTCAACTTCATAATGATTAAGTACTGCCACTTGGAATATATACATATATAGATATATACATATATAGATATATATGTATATATATAAAACACCAACACCAACAACCACATCTCGGTATTCATAAAATGTAGTAGTTTTTTTTACGAATTTTTTTCACACACACACAGACTTGTCCGAGAAAATTACCCATTAAATGTAATTAATTTCAATAAATCCTTTGATAATTTGAATGCAGATAGATATCTAAGCCTCTTAATTTAAATCTTATCGTCGTCGTTGGAATTATTGGAGATTAGCTAAGAGAGTAAGAGAAAATGCCTTAAGACTTACCGCTATCAAACTACTGCTAACGACGGCTTTACCACCTTTCGAACTAGTATTAAAGTGTTCGATAACTTCCCAATTTGATTTTTTGGGTGTTGATGGGGCCTGCATCTGCGATAAGGTGCCTGTTGAACTTTGAACATTTGAATCTAATGCCGAAGGTTGCTGCAACTGCGAGTTGGTAGATTGCTTTAAAGATGATGAACGATTAAAGAATTTATGTTTTCTAGATTCCTGGATGGATTGATTAATAAAGAGAGACAAGAAAATGAGAAAATTTTATTTTAATTTTTCAAAAATTGCCTTCAGATAATGAATAATTGATTCCAATTATCAATTGAACAGTCTATCTTACCTCTTTGCTGGAATTTGTGCTACCACTGGCAGCAGCGGCAGACCCACCGCCACCAATGCCACCGACACCGTAATGCCGTATGCCACGCAATGACAAACGTTTGGACCAATCTTTCTTTTGACTTTCAGATGAGAGCGAACGAATGATTTGTTTATTTGCACTTGAATTCTTTGCTGACATTTTGCTCATATTTCCCTATAGCTTAGTCTATTTAAAAAAAAAAAAAAAAAAAAAAAGGGGGAAAAAGATTTAATATATGAAATATAGCAATAACAACCGTTATGAATAAATGTATTAATCATTAATATTAGCATCGTCTATAGACTAACAACATTGTGAGAGGCACATCTGCATTTACACCTCATACCACTTGGGGTATATTAAGTTTGTGCGAACGTACGTAACACCCAGAAGAACATAAGGTGGGCTCATCTTTTATTATACTCATCGACTCGGAATCATTTCTAAACCGATCTAAGCTTATCTGTCCGTCCGACGACTATCCATGTATTTTTGTGTTCAACCTACAGGTAGCAATATTTGAGATGTTTTGATGAAATTTGTAACAATGACCTGCTTTGACGCAAGGACGAATAGTATTGAACACCAGTGTTATTTGGACATTCTAGATTGGTATGAAAAATTTAGTTCGGCCGGGGCAATTTTTTGAACTCGCTCCCATATAACCGTTCATGCGAAAATTGAATCTTTATATGGTAAAAGGATATAATTTTCAATATTTTATGGTGAAAATTGTTTCGTAACAGTAAATTGACGAAAAATTCAAACTTACAGATCTTGGTCCACGTAGATCTATATTTTGGATACCATCCCATTTTAAAGACTCTCAGGAAATGTAAAGCCATACATATTTATATATGTATATACAAAAAAAACCCCATTTTTTTATGTTTTGTGATGAAAATTTTTTCATCACAGTACATGGTTCTATTTCTTGAACCCCTTTCGACCATTTAATTTTTCTTAGCACTAGTAAGCCTTTCGGAAGAAGGTGTAATTTTTAATATTTAATGATGGAAGTGGGTCTATAGCAGCAATGTTACAAAATAATTAACGGTAGATAATTAACATATCTATATTTTGGAATCTTTATAAAGAGTCTAAAAAGTCTAATTTCGAGTTTTTTATAATCAAAACTGAAAAATGATAAAATTTTGAAAGTAAATTGTGTTTGCAAAATTTGGATCACGCCATATGACATTTTGGGAATCCTTCAAGATGCGGGCTCTCATGATAAGTGTAATGTGTAATTTTTGATGTATTATTATCAAAACGAGTGAATAAGTGTACTAATGGACCGTAATGTTCTTACTTGTTTTAGTAAAGAATATGAAAATGATAAGTTGGCTTAGTTTCGATTTCTGTGTTGTGCTTCATTTAAGGTAAGTCAAGCTTGTAACGTTTTCACAATATCTCAGCCGGCTTTTTTCTTTCTTGATGCAAATTGGCATTCGTTCGTCTTTTTTTAACTGAGTAATGAAATCTCCTATCCGTTTACGTCTTTAGTTAACTAATTGCGTACGCAAAACATGCAAAAGCAAATAACTTATTCAAAAATTGCGCTCAACTCCGGAGGAATATTAAGCCAAAAAGAAAAAAGAGAAGAAATTAAGGGATAACGGTAAATTTTCTAAACGAACATTTTCACTATATTGGCGTCACACACAATTTTATCAACTAAGAAGAATATAAAATACTTTAATTACAAAATTTGTATTAAAGTTTTGTTTTAAGCTTACGCTTACTTTAGATGTCCGTGACATCAAATATATGAAAGTGATGGTTATCCTTTTACATTTGACGTCATTTCAACGTACAGTCGAAAATGTTTTCTACATACAATATTTGAGGTTTTGTTGTAATCAGAGTAAAAAAAAAAAAAAAATCGGTTTAAGTGCATTGGTGTGTTGGGGCTTTTTGAAATATGCCCCACATATCTACGTACATTTACATACATATGTGTATATGTATATAAATTTTTATTTGTATAATTTTTCGGTTGATTCTCTGCTTCGAATATATAATACCTTGGATTTGTTTCAAACAGAAATTAAAAGGGATTTTATCGCTTCATTCAAGTCTTTTTACAGTAAAGCAGTGTCCTTATGATAGTAGCCAACGGTAATATTTTAAAAAATTGTTGATTATAAACCGATTGAAACGAGTCTTTTCATATTCAATACTTGCTTGCTTACTACTTCCACTGCCATTGCTACCAATTTATTACGAAATTGGAAAGGGAGCAAAGTGACATGCCCTTTAGGTGGAGTCCTTAAATGCGACATTTAATTACCAGAAAAAGTGCAAAACCATGCACATGATCTATCTATCGCATTTCGTATTGTACAAATTTATAACATGGTACATATCGTACTGCCAACGGTTCATAAATAATTATACAAACTGGCCCTTACCTATCATATATGCCTGTAACCTATCACCATTTTTTTGACACAAGGCTTTGTTAAGTTTGTGTGAATGTATGCAGCATCGAGAATAATCCCTCCTTTCATTAAAAAAGCTTGGTGCCTTTGTGTCCATCTGCCCATTTGATGTCCGTCTTGCATTTTTGTGTTCAACCTAAGTGCTTAATTTTTGAGATATATTGATGAAATTTGCTACACCTGCGGCATATTCTGGCCCAGGAACAAACGCTATTCAAAATGATTTGGATCGGAAGTAATTTTCGATCACTTTTCATATAAAGCCTTATTTTGAAAAGTCAATATATGAATAACAGTAGGGTGTTTTAAGTATTTAATGATAGAACATAATTCACAATAGCGTTTTTATATAGATTATGCAAGACTTTTTCGTAATTATGGACTTACGAAAACTTAGTCCGATTTGCCAGAAAACCCAAACTGAAGTGGACATGTTCTTTAAAAACAAACTTAAGCATTAACTTCAAATTCGAAATTCAATTTTGCGCTCAACTGAAAACTTCTGAGATCAATTCGTTTCTTTTATGTAAAAGTTTGAGATTTTAATCGTGATTGCGCACATCAGACGAATAAACAAATAGACCGTTTATACATTAGTCAACAACAACTATATTTTACAAAATCCCAGATGGGTATGTTCTTTCAAATAACATATAACATGCATATGTGACGACATTGCAAATGCAATATGCAATCCGCTTTATATGGGAAAGCACTTTAATGTACGATTGTAACATATCTGATGGCACAACACTATTCGCATTGTTTAATCATGTATGCATTGATACTGAGAGTTATTTTAGTGACTTCGAACAATTACGTGATTTCAACTAAAATTAAGCAAAAACAAAAACAAAAAAAGAAAAAGAAAAGGACCCTTTTGGCATATGCGAAATTTCAAAGTTAATCCCCGAAATAGCAAATTGACTGAAGTTTACCTGGAAAAGCCTAAGTATACTGCCTGCTTCCGTCAAAAAAATATTTGCTCCTTTGTTCGCCACCCAAACTAAAAAAAGAAATATATATACTGCACTTCTGTTACTACGGGGGAATAGAGCGAAAGGCTTCCACTCATGGCAGGTACTCGTTCTCTAAACTGCCAATAACTTTTATACTCTATACGACACGTGCCGCAGCGATACGACGCGCGTGCGGATATATGGATACATCGATTCAGAATGATTCTCTGACTCGATTCAAGCTTCTCTGTCTGTTTGTACAATGTCTTGTTGTCCATTCAATTTACAGGTTGAAATTTCTAAGATATTTTAACGAAATTTGACATCAATTGACATTTTACAGCCTACAACACTTCGGATAGCAAATTATATTATGCTAGACGCAAAATGACGTGAGATAAACATACGTTGCTTGGGCATTTGTATGACTTCGTCTTTTATTCAATCGACAGGTCGTACTTTTTGAAATATTTTGATGAAATTCGATGCACCAAGGCGATTTGATCCAAGGATGAAAGCTAATGAAAATTATTCGGGTCGATCCACTTTCTCCATCATTCTCCACAAAACATCTTAATCACCTTGAAAAGTCGTTATGCGAATAACTGCAGGGTGTTTAACTAACACCGAAGGCTGCGTATATAATGCATTACTTCTTTCGTTTATAGCGCTTAGAGGAACGCATCAGAAATCTAATAAAATGTGCATAGGCTGGTTTGACATAAGATGTAAGATGATCGTTGACTATCGAAAACGGTAATGATGGGAGCGCTTTCGTGGCTATTAACTATCTGATGCCTTCTTTAGAAATATTTGCCATACAAAAAAGATGTTGGAATTTTTAAAATTTCGCGACAAAACTAGGCCTCTATCCATATAATCGCCGCTCCATAAGGTAAACTCTTATATATGAAAAAAAAAAAAAATTTAATATTTAATAGCTTTTAGTGATATGACCACGAAACGCAGCGCAGTACATCGGTTATTATCACGCAGAACTGTTTGTCCGATCCGACGCCCAAAACATGGAAACAAAGCACAATTTTTAGTATTTTATTAAGAAAAGAGATAAAGAATTCTAGCAGTAAAGCGCCCGGCCTTACCCAAGCATCATATTTTTACTTGTTTTTATTTCAATTAGTCAGCCTTTTTTTTAGTTTTTGTTTTTTTTTTTGGTTCGCACTTATGTGAAACTTATGCATTATTTACGTGTATATACGGTGTATACATGTCAATGTGAAAATTATAAATTATGCCTTTATAACCGTTTCGCATTCCTCTGTTATTATCTTGAAATTGAAGACTAACAAGAGACTAACTAACTACATACTCGGCATAGGACGCGTAATACAATTAGGTATTGGAGAACTCGTCAAGTGTAAGTAGATTCGTGGTTAATAGAAAATTTGGAAAAAAGTTCTTTTTTTTTTTTTTTTTTATATCAAAATTCCGAGCGAGACTTCAGCATCAACTTTTCAAAATATACACAACCGATCTTCATTCGATCTCATTCAATTTATTATGCCTCCTAATCTATTAGGATAGAAAGAGATAAATAGTCTTACACATAATGCTAATGTGAAGCGTTTATTGGACTCTTTACTCATTGAGCAGAGCGCAGATTAGTCCATTGATAGTGCTTTTTACATAAAGTTTTAATTTCCGATTTTTTTATTTATTTTTTTTGAATTTCTGTGACCGCAAACGTCACCTCTCGGGATCTTTATTGCTAACTGCGACAAAGTCAATTCACATACATATTTTCTATGTAGAGGTGCTATGC